CCGCCACTTCTTCTACGGCGGTAGCCATAACCGTCTCCCGCGCCTTCTCACTCCTCGGCTGAATATTGCACCGGAATGGCCCAGGGTACCCAACTATGCCGCTTGACCACGTCTGGACAATGGGTACATCAACCCCATTCTCGTCTTTCGCCGGGGTGACTTCGAACATAGCGAGGATACTCGCAACGGTGAGCCAGACGCTCGACATCGCTAATGCCCGACCCGGGCAGATTCGTCGGCCGAAGCCAAATGCGACATGAGGGAAGGGTGGCTCCCCGTCCTTGCATGCTTCTGAGGGATAGGTGCCACCGCTCTCGGTCGAGAGGAAGTGGGCAGGGTTGAACGTCTCCGGATCGGGATAGAGTTCTGGATCATGAAGGATGGCCCATACGTTGCCGAGAACCTACAGTAGATGAAGGGTGTGCATGAATACACCGAATCGCATAGTGAGGGGAGTGTATACGCACAGTGCTCCCTTTGGGTATGAACATGCCCTCATACACGTCGTCTTCGGTCACTGCGTGTGGCACCGCTATGCGGCGATCCAGGTCAGCTGATGTCCGGTCATGTGCACAAGGGTTACCACCAACCTAGGGAAGTGACAGTATACCATCGGAATACTTCCTTCACCAGCGCAGACGTATATGGAAGGGTATCCTTGTCCGCAAATGTGGGCAGCGCTCCGCGCAAGGCCTCGTCGAGCTCCTTCTGAGCCCGCGCTTGAACTTCGGGATACAGGGCCATGGCCATGAAGAACAATGCAAGGGAAGAGACCGTCTGCAAGAATCATGGAGCGGGGCCAGTCCTTAGGAACTAAAACGTACTGACTGTGTCTGCACCTCCAATGTACATGGTTCCCGTCACCGACTTGAGGACGTCCAGGGCGGCAGGGTCGTCTTTGTATCTGTCGTATATATTTCCAGCCGCCGACGTCTGTTGGGACTTCCCGTCGTATTCAGCTATCTACAAGAATATATACCTTCAGCGCCGGATCGGTGAGATGTGAAGTGAGAGGTGCCTTCGCCCTTTCCATCATTGCCCAGGGCTTGTCTATAGCTGCACGACTAACCCCTGACGACTGCACCTCCGCTCCATACTTCTTCAGTCCCGCACCAGGGAACCAGGAAGGTAATATCCGTACTGGCAACAGGACATTAGATGAGCGCGCATGATCATTTGGTGGCCGAATTCGCCTACGGATGGGGATGAAATCGAATATCAACGAGCTGTATGATACGGCGACATTCATCAAATGCAATGTATCTTCTGCAACATTAACCATAGGGTCATTGAGATCTCGCAACCCAATGCCGTATGCAATACGCATGATGACGTTTCCTGTCATGCTAACGGTACAAGCAAACTCAGCAGGCTGAACATAGCTTCAACGACGGCACGTACAACTTGATGTTATCCCGGAATGCATCTGGCTCGAGCACGAGTGTACGTAGAAGGGTGTGGGTCGCGGCTTCTTGCAGCGGATCATATCGGGCGAGAATGTCGGGTTTGAATTCTTCATGAAAGTTCTTGCGCATCAATCGCCAATCAGGCCCATAGGGTACCAGGCTCATAATCCACTCAATACCTAGACTATGATGACTGTCAGTATCGTTGGGCAAACGCTCAATTAGACGGACATCTTGATTCCTGTCATCTGTGGTCTATGATGTTCGCGCGTGAGCCCTATGCGCGAACAAGAGTAATTAGCTGAATATGTACCTGTCACTATAGTACGCTGAGCGCTTCTCAAACAGCTCATAGGCTGCTCGAGCAGAGTTCACGATGATTGTGTGTGCTCCGAAGGCTTCATAGTGAACAAGGTCGGAGCCTGCGCTACAATCAGGGTCGTCTCGACTAGGGAGAAGCCGGAGGTACGCACCATACTTGAGGCTCCAATCACGGTAGGCAATCCATTCGTACGACTTGGGCACGTCGAAAAGGTTGCTGACTATAGGAAGTCCTGGTGGACCTGGCGGAAGTGGGAGACCATTGCGAGTTTTGTATGTCTTGTAGCGTCGCCACGACACTGCGGATAGAAAGACCAACAGAACGAAGAGCGTGTCAAAGATGATGTGGTGCATCGCTGAGATCTGTGAAGGCGCTTGGAGAGTGAGAGAGCCTGAGCGGTTATATAGCGCAAGTACTCCACCAGTGTTTGGCTATGCAAAGCTTATTCCAGGACTTGCCAATGGTGCACGGGCTCCTATACAATATCGACATATCGATATCAAACAAGTACCGGAGGGAACGGCTGTGGCGCCGAATGTGTGTAAGGCTCGCTGGACAATCATCAGTACGCACGTCGTTTGACACGGTGACAGCTTCGTCGACGAACAGAAGCCGTCTACTCACACGCCGAAAGTGGAGAGCACAGCAGTCGGGACGTACGCGGGATGCGAACACTTTCTATGGTGGTCAAATTCGTGGCATTATAGGGGTCTTCTCTTTACACTGTTTACACCAGAAGCACCGTGCTGGTCAAGCGACTTGCTTCACCTCGACGCTCTCGCTCCGCTTCTTCTCATCGCCGTAATAGCCCTCTTCTGATCCTGCGTCGTCTCCAGAGGCCGGAAGCTCATTGGCAGACTCGTCGATCTCGGCGAAGTGCGCATTCTTTCCTGCGGGCGGGAATACGTAATTCAGGGCTAGATAGATGACCATCGAGATACCGAAACCAGTGAAGAACGACATCTGGTAGATGCGCGTCGCCGCAAGAGGGACGGAGCGTCCGGTTGCTGAGGAGGGATGCATCAACATAACGAGGCACACGTTGTCTGCTAGTGAAGGAACTGACCTCCAGCAAAGCCAACGACGTTGATAAGGATACCCGCAATATACGCAGCGTACGCTCTGTAGACATTGTGAGGATCGCGACGCTTGAGGTCAATTACGATGGCCATACCGGAAGTTGATGCCGTATGTGTAATAGTACCAGCCGTCGCGGCGTGCCGAGTACAGGTCGGCCACCCGATAATGACCACGACGGATGAGGAAGTACTCCGTGATCATGACCCCCGCTATGCTGCTCAAGAAGACCGAGTACGCCGAGAGGTAGCTCGTGAACTGATTGCTGCTCTTGAGCAAGTTCCAGGGTAGCATGACGATGCCGACAATGGCCGCAACAAAGCCACCTCGGCGGATGTTGATGAAGCGAGGGAACAGAGCGGTGAGATCACATCCCGCGCTGATGCTATTCGCCGAGATGTTGGTACCAATCTGGGCTATGACGAACGCCGCAGAGATAAACCAGACGCCGAAGCGAGTAGCGTGTGAAGGCCCGTCATCGAGGAAGCGGTCGAGAAGGTCAATTGGCGACCAGATGGTCTCGTTGAAGATGGCCTGTGAAGAGGAGGAGACGATGATGCCGATGAAAGACACCAGCGAGAACGTGATGGGTACGGCGAAGAACTGCGGCCAACCGGTGGCTGACGGACGATTTGCGCGCGATGCGAAATCCGGCGCGTTCCTGAGGAAGAAGTAAGGACGACAGGTTCATGCATGGAAGTAAAGACATACGTGATAAGCGTGGCCATGTTGCTGATGCAGCTCATCAAGCTGCTGACCATCGCCCATCCCAGCTCGCTTCCGTGCACAGTTGACGGTTGATGAATGATGGGGCCAACACCCTTCGCCTTTACAATACACCAGATGAAGAAGGTGATGCCAGCTGCAGGGGCCACGATCGCCTTGACAGTGAAGAGGTGGCGAATCTTGTGAATAGGAAACCAGATGGCGGGCAGTGATATCAACCAGAATAGGAAGAAGCACATGAAGTCGCGCGTCGTGGTTCCCGAAGAGGTAGGTAAATGGTTGGCTGGGAGCACGCGTAAGCATCAAGAAGTTCGGTTCACAGGTTGGACATACGGATGTTTTGGACGCTCGGCCACATCGAACGTAACATGACCTTCATACACGAGCCACCAATGCTGGCCTGGACACCATACCAGATACTGCGACGGAGAATCAGAGCTCTGCCGCCCTCAAAACACACAGGGCACTCACCATGCCATTGCACCGCGGTTAAAGACACACCACAAGCTTCCCCACAGACCGAAGCTCGTTCGCGCCACAACAGGGAAGGTGATGTGATACACCGCACCGGGTCGTGCGTCGGCCACGATGAACGGGCCGACGACACCATACCCGATCCAGACACAGATCCAGGCTTGCCACCAGGATAGGCCGAGGTCGATCATAGACGACACGATCATCCACCTGTAGAGTTGCCCTGTCAGGTCACCATCACTGCTGCTACCCCGCATTTCACGACATACGTGTTGACATTGAAGCTGTCCGCAATCCAACTGTAATGTGATGTCAGGAGCGATGCAGAAAACCATGCTTCTTAGACGCACAAAGTCGTGAAGTTTCGTGCACGCCATGTCCTCCTGTCTTCCTCCACCGGTCGAAGGTCTTCGCTCTGCGAATGACGTCGTCAGTTCAGAGTCTTCACAGGCAGCATGCGACCGACTTCTAGAAGCATTTCCGACCACGTCTGGTTTGGCGGGTGTGACACCTCCAGGCGCTGCACGAACTTGCGGGCACCCATGACTGACTCAGCGGACAGAGACGAGAAGGTCAGAACGGTACGCGAAGCACGTCCGCTGTCCTTTTACATCAACCCCGGAAGCCATAGAAGGAGTTTAAAGGGCGCAAGGCCAGGAAATTTGTGTGGAGAGCGCTTGTGTGGCGCCGTGGTGGTCGTAGATAAGAGCTCTTCTGACGGCATGCGGCACCCCGGAAGCGCCTGCTCACGCTGGTTCTGCCAACGGGGAACAAGTACATCAGATGCTGTTTGTATTGATATGCTGCGCTCCCTATGAAGGTATAGAGCAATACCCACTTGAGCAGTCGCTATGCGCTCGTACGACATAGCCTCGCGGGATAATCGGCCTATACCTCTGCAGCCTGGGACTTTCTTTCAGTGGGGTTGTACCAGCTTGATGCAAGATCATTCCAAGGTAGACAAGTTTATATGACTACGAGTGCGTATAGTACAGGTCTTTTACTATCGAACAGGTCATGCGCTAGAGTCGCTATGCTGTGATCCAGACCCGCCAAGCGGCCACTCGAGAACGAAGTGCCAATACTCAATCTCCTCACTCGGCCGACCGGGCCCTTTCGGACTTCCCTCGCAAACGACCGTTTCCTTTCGGGTGATGCTTGGCGCGTCGCCACTAGAGGAAGAGAAGACCTCCTCGACACTAGCCACTTCACGACTATGGCCAGCCCGAAGAGGCACGACGAGATGGAACTGTCCACCCGGCCGTAGAAAACGAGCCGCACAGGCGTGCAGCAAGCGTGAATGCTCTGGTGCGTACACAACGTCGGCGCCAAATATCACGTCGAACGTTTCATCGAGCGCCGGGTCTAGCGAAAGCGGTATATTGGCGCCGGTAGTCGCTGTAGCGAAGACTTCCGTCCAATCCAGCCGAGCAACGCGTACGGGTCTTGAGCCGGGAGCGGTATTGGTATCCACGTTCGCGCGTAAATTGTCTAGAACGGCGGGATGATTGTCCGTTGCGACGACGTCGAGCGGCAAAGAGAGGCGCTGAGCGAGTTTGCCCAAGGTCATCGAGACCAGGCCCGTCCCCGCCCCAAGTTCGAGCACTCTAACGGGTGGTAAAGGCTTGTTCAGCGGGAGGAACGCCGCTGGGTCCTCGGTAAGCATGTCGGCCAGCACGCATGCAGCGCCCCATGTCTGCGCGCCTACGCTCCCGAGATCATTCTCCAGTGCGGTGTCCATCAACTCGATGTGAATGGGGCCAAATGCGAAACGCCGGGTCAGCGCTCCCGCTGCTGATGCGCCGGCACAGATCGCAAGTAATGAAGCGGCTGACTGGAGCAACGCGTCGGCCGTGGAATCCTCGGCTGAAAAGCGGGCAAGGCTGGCTGTGAGCCAACGCAGGGCGTGCGCGCGCTCGAAGTGATCATCTCGAAAGACATCCAGCGCAGTCGTCTGGTCTGGTCGCGGCGCTTTGGGTTTGGGCAGCAGGCGGCGGGAGCCTCGCACTTCCGGTACGTAAATTAGGCGCAGATAATCAAGCAAACGGGAAAAATTGTCCGGAGAGATCGACGAAAGCGACTTGATAGGCGGTAGAACAGCCGTTGGTGGTCCGTATTCTCGCGGTGTAGGTTCAAGAGGAAGGATCGAGATTGTCATGATTTGTCGTCTATGTCTATGAGGTCTAGTATCAATGCCAGTTCTATGTGTTCTAGTCTATGATAAGCGACGGGTCGCGGTCGCCATTGTCAGCAGTCCATCGTGGAGAGTGAGGGCGGAAGACAAGAAAATATTGCCGTTCAACGCGACGAGTCACAAGTCGCTGTCACGCAACTCTCAGACGTCGGAGTCGGACAACGCGCTCGTCTGACCTTGACTCTCACCTTGTCGCTCCGCAGAAATGATGCTACAACCGCTTGTACCTCGATGAACGACGGGTCGGTCCGCTTTGAGCGCCATTTTTCACGGGACTGCCGAGGCGGGGTTCTGCGGCACACCTGCGAAGTGAGAGACCACGTACGGAAATACATATTCGGTGGCTCATAATCGCTATTCCCGAGCAACTAGTGCGCCACACCGCGCTATCGAGCCGCAAAACGTGTTCGACGGCCACAATGAAACTCCCTTGGAAGCTATAAGGGAAAGGAGGGCTGATGTCGTCCGGTTTTATCAATACGCAGGGGCAGCATACCCAACTTTATTCAATCCTCCAATGGTGTGTATTCCGCGCCTGCGTCCTCGCACGAAGCGACCTTCTCAGGTTCTGCCTTTACCTAGCTGGTACATACCCGCCAATGCCGGTATCTATCCATGAGCAACGCTGAGAACAAACATGAAACTCGGGGATAACTTCATCCCGCTATATATACTGCTCTCGCACGGTATTGAAGACGACCTTCTCCCTGGTCTTTCCTGGCATGATGCCGATCTCAGTGTCTGACGCTTCTGTAATCGCCCTCGTCATATCCGGTGTGCTGCTATGGCAGAGGAATCGCTTGGCCAAGACACATCGCGGCCTTCCTCTTCCTCCCGGGCCACCTGGTGTACCGTTGTTCGATAACCTCTTCGACATTCCCTCATCTTATGAGTGGGTGACCTACCGTGACTGGAGCCTCAGATATAGTAAGCTTGCACTGCACTTGTACTGCACAACACCACTGACCTAGCTCAGGTTCAGACCTCGTCTATTTCAAGGCCTTCGGTAAACATACCGTAGTCGTCAACACGGCCCGCGCTGCAAACGACCTGTACGAGAAGCGTTCTGCTATCTATTCCGATCGGTGTGTGTCTTCATGTCATAGCCTATCCTTGTCGCTGAACTTGTTCATCCAGGCCAGTAATCACGTCCATGAAATAGTACGTTCTTCGCCTCTTTCCTGACGGTGCGCAACTGAGAGGAATCGGCGACAGCCTCGGACTAGAATGGGTGACTCTATTTTTGCCCTATAATGAAGAGTGGCGTCAACATCGCAAGCTATTCCACGAGGAGTTCAAGCCTCAAGCTTTGGCTGCATACGAGACGCATCAGAGGGAATCTGTTCACGCATTCATGCGCACACTTGTATCAGATCCGGATGACTTCAGGGCGGGTGTCAGACAGTGAGTCGTGTGCAGCATGAAGTTCGCAAAATTGACAGCGTCTGCTGTACAGCTTGACGGGCAGGATCATAATGCGCATAGCGTATGGCATCGACATTCAAGACCACGACGACCCTTACGTTCGTATCGCAGAAGAGACCATGGATGCGATGAACACCGGTGCTACATTCAAAGGGCTGATCTTCGATTTTGTCCCATTCCGTATGTACATTCAATACTTAAGACTCCATTCATAGCGCACTGATCACTAACACGCCCAACTCGCAGTCAAATACATGCCCGCCTGGTTCCCTGGAGCCGGATTCAAGAACTATGCGGCGAAGATGTATCCTTCGGTCAGCCGTGCATCTCTGGACGTGCCGTGGGATGCCATGATCGAAGCGAAGGTGTGCATGAAGACATGTTCAATCAGTGTATTGATCGAACTCATGAAGTCTATGCCATAGCGAACAGAACCCGATGGACACAGACGACCTTCTGCTGCGCGTAATCTGCTCGAGAAGTACGGCCAGGATCCCAGCGTTCATGACCTCCTCAGGGCGGTCCCTGGCACGGCGTATCTTGGTGCGGCCGATACGGTGCGCTGCATGCGATTGCCTCCCTCGCGATTATTCACACATGGAGTAGACAGCTTCCTCTTTGACGTCTTTCTTTCTGGCGATGGTGCTATACCCCGTCGCTCAGAAGAAAGCTCAGGCGGAGCTTGATAGTATTCTCGACGGCGCACCTCCCACTCTCCAGGACCAGAACAGACTACCGTACACGTCTGCATTAGTCAAGGAGATCTTCCGCTGGCATCCGCCACCGTCCTTAAGTCAGTTTTTGTTGCGTAGCGGTCGTACCTTTTGCTAACTAGCATGTCAAGTTCCCCCGCACAGGCTAATGAAAGACGATGTTTACGAGGGCATGTTTCTACCTGAAGGATGCGCTGTGATTGCCAATGCTTGGGCTATCCTTCGCGACGCCAAGCTCTACCCTCTCCCCGACACTTTCGATCCTGCGCATTTCATCCCGACGGATCAGGGCGGAACGTACCCAGTGGACGCGTGCAAGGATGGCGAGCCACTCTTCCCTGAAGCTACGTTCGGCTTCGCACGCCGTCTATGTCCCGGACGAGCCTTGGCGAAGTCGACCGTATGGCTTACGGTTGCGAGTGTGCTGTCGACCTTCGACATCACCCCGGCGAAGGACCCTCAAGGCAATGATGTCCCAATCATTGAGACGTGGTCGAGCGGCATTGTCGGCTATCCTGGTCCGTTCGCCTGCTCGATCCAGCCGCGGGGTGTGACGACGTTGGGATTATTAATGGCCAAAATTTGAGATCTCGTTTCTCATGAGTATAGTATATGTCGTGCGTAATATAGTTTGTCAGGTGGCCGCGGTAGTCAGTGAGCCGACTAGTGACTGCTGTCCAGTCCGTCGGGGTCGACCGGAAAGGCCGAACAAGGCCGAAATGCATCAGCATCGGCCCGCGATCCGGAAGCGGGGCAACGTCCTTGAAGTTTCGAAGTTGAAGCTTGAGACCTACCTTCATGTCGATTGCCACCATTGACTCAATCTGCCACACGAATCGAGTATTGCGACCTAAGGCTCGTCTCTGCGCGCAGGGGACTGTCTCGAGGTCGTAATGCGTGATTAAAGCCAGTCACCGCCTCATTATCCCTTTGCCCCGAAAATTTGCACATGCGATTGCTGGCGCCGTTGGTTATCTTGATCCTTGTCCCAGCGCCAGTATTACCCTCTTTGCCTTGCTCTACGGGGTCATACAGAGCCTGAAATATCCATTTGGGTCCATTCATCAGCATACATCATCACCCGCGTGTCATCGGAAGACGCAGTTCGCCCTGTTGAACGGTGCGCCGCACACGTCGACTGGTCGTATCCCGGTCACTGACCTAACAATCGTATATATAGATGGCCCTTAAATCTACGTGCTCCTTATTTAATTGTGGTCACTCTGCTGTCCCGTGTACGTCAGTCGTGAAAGCCACTCAATGCGCTTCTAGTCTACTAACGCTCTGACCCTAACAGGTCTGACCACTGCGAAAGACGGACGGCTCTAAACAGTAAGATGGAAGCTACCCGAGACTCGTGTCTATATCAGTTGCTCGCTACATTATTAAGTATGCCACAGGCTAAGCCAGACTGGCTAGACCCATCAGTTCGTCACCACTTTCCCAGCCTTCAGCCCCAGGTGAGAAGACAATCCACTCGAGTACCACCGTCGCGACTCCGATTCTCATCTAACTGCAGCCGGTCAGTCCAGCTGTTCCAGCGACGTAATGAGGATATAAGACGACTCTGAATTCGAGGCTTCAAGCTTCCTCGACCCACATCTTGCAACGGTTAAAGCAATGGCACTCAATCTCGTCGCATTCGATATCCTCTTCGTGTTCTCGGTCATCGCGATGGTGGCGGTATGGCGGAGATCACAGACAAGCAAGGTTCGCCGGGGTCTTCCACTACCGCCTGGCCCACGCGGCCTTCCTGTCGTTGGCAATCTTTTCGATATGCCCGACACAAATGAGTGGGTGGTATATCGTGATTGGGGAGTCAAGTACGGTTCGTCCTTGTATGTTGCTTCGCATCACCATTCATGCTGAATGATGGGACCCAACATCAGGTTCCGATGTCGTCTGCGTCTCTACAATTGGTCTTCACGTGGTCATCGTCAACTCGGCACGCGCCGCACACGATCTTTTTGAACGACGATCGGCACTGTACTCTGATAGGCGCGCATTCTGTCCTCCTTTCTCTGTTCCCAGTTATTGACACTGCGATGGGTAGGCCAGCTTTGACCGCCATTCGGTAGTCAGTGTTCTGCATCCAGCGTACTATGATAACGCGTCCTGAATGCAGCATGACAGCATCGGGGCAGATACATGGAATCTGGGCTTTCTACGATACGGAGCGGAGTGGCGTACTCAGCGTAAGCTGTTCCACGAACAGTTCAGACCCGAAGTTCTGTCTAGGTACGAACCACATCAAGAGAAAGCCGTACACGAATTTCTGCGCGCAATGGCCGCCTCATCCGGACACGCGATGGATATGGATCAGTTCAGGTCGACCATCAGACAGTCAGTTTTTCAAGATAGCAGCCCTTAGACCGTCCCCTGATTAGTGCCTACAGATTGACCGGCACAACCATTGTGTACATTGCCTATGGAAGAGAAGTACAAGGCCCAGACGATCCGTATCTTGTTATGTTGGAAGAAGCTGTGGCGGCCATCAACGAAGCCACGAAGCTGAAAGCTCTGACGCTTGATCTTCTTCCTTTTTGTAGGATGTCCCATATCTCTCTACGCTGTATCACTCTTACGGACCTTATTCTAGTACAGAGGATGCCTGTATGGTTTCCTGGCGCCGGCTTCAAGAAATACGCAGCAGAGGTACGGCCCCATGTGGGCGAAGTTGTCAGGGACAAGCCGTGGGATGAGTTCGTCGCGGACACCAAGGTAAGTACACCGCTCCGCCGGCGTCCTTCCCCTTCATAACCACGATGAACAATAACGTAAAACGCACCGTACTTCAGGCTGGATGTGAGACCAGGCGTGCATCTATCGCAGGTCAGCTTCTCACGAAATATGGCAACGATCCTGCTTTGCTGGATGCTGCGAAGGCAGTAGTGAGTGTCATGTACGTCGCTGGGGCCGACACGGTATGACATTTGCTTGCTTGTAACATTGGCATTCATAAGCTAATCAACGACTGTAGACTGTATCTGCGCTCTCGTCATTCTTTCTGGCGATGGTTTTGTGCCCCGATTCCCAACGTAGGGCGCAGAAAGAGCTCGATGATGTTCTCCGCGGATCTCTTCCGACGCTCGCGAACCAGGATGATTTGCCGTATACGACCGCTTTAGTGAAGGAGGTCTTTCGCTGGCATCCGGTGACAACTCTAGGTGGGCCATCGAAGTCTTGACATACACGTGATTCTCTGCTCATGGTTCTTGGTAGGAGTGCCGCATGCGCTCACCGAAGACGACGTTTATAACAACATGTTCATCCCCGCTGGATCAACAGTGATTGGAAACGTGTGGGCTATACTCCATGATCCATCTCTGTTCCCCGACCCAGATACATTCGACCCCGCACATTTCATCTCATCTGACAACGGAGGGACGTATCCTGTTGAGGCATGCAAGAGAGGCGAACCACCGTTCCCCGAGGCGGCGTTCGGCTTTGGCAGGCGCATATGCCTCGGAAGATTGTTGGCCAAGAACACTGTGTGGCTCACTGTTGCCAGCGTCTTGTCCGCGTTCGACATCCTTCCCGTGAAGGACGAGAATGGGGTTGACGTACCAGTCGAGGATACTTGGTCGAGTGGGACCGTGGGGTTCCCTGCGCGCTTTGAGTGCATCTTCAGGCCGCGCTCGCAGCAGGCTATGGAGGCTATCAGCGTGATAGTCACGGAAACGTGATGGAAGGGTGCGACATCATCAATGACAAATGTGGTGGACGCGGCCTCGTGGAGATTCAGCGCTTCAGCGCTTCAGCATTCGAGATCGATTCGCGTACACGATACATATAGCAATACTAGCATCTGGGAGCCCTCGTATGAAGCCTGTCTACCCGTACATCAGCAGAATAGAGTTTATATGCATAAGTCCCGTGGCAGGCTGGTACTGAAGACACAGAGGGCTACATACGGCTACTCACGTCCGGTCACGTCCGGTCCGCGTTCCGACAGTTGCCCTCACGCTCATCGGCGACACCGTCGAAACCTCCCTTCTACCCTCATGTCGATGCCGAAGTGGGTGCCTGGTGTCTGACAGCCATACACACGTCTACCACTAGAATGCGTCGGGACTACGACTTCCTGCGAAGAAGTTAGGACAACCGCCGTGCATACGCCTAGCTCGTGACCGCACCTGGCTATACAGACGTGGCGCTCATCAAGGGTCACACTTTGCATGACAGTCTTCCTCTGGTATACCGATGGCACCCATATGCATTGCTGGTGCAGGGTAAAGCCATGACAAGGCGCTCCTACAAGGGAAGGCAGCGCGGCCTTCGCGGCGCCATAGTTCACACCAATTCGCTCCCTTATCAATGTGACCTCGACATCGCTCGCTGGCTTCGTAAGTAATTGCATGGGGTTTGTCTGCTGTATGTACGCCGCAGGACGTTCTTCTAATCTTCAAGAACTGCTTCCGGTGAGAGTCTATCGCACAATTGGCTGCGAGTTATCTAAGGGATAGTGCTGAATCACTGACGCAATTACTAGCTGGCAGTGGAGGGATCGCACATCCTGCGGTTGTATAGGGCTGCCACCCCCGTCGGATAGAACGGATCCAATGGATAGCCTGCTTTTTGACGCCCTCGTCGTTCTCTGTGTTCTTAGTCTCGCAGTTCTCTGGCAATCAGCACGAGCGTCACAGGCCAGGACACGATCGCCACTCCCACCTGGGCCTCCTGAGCTCCCGATAATTGGCAATCTCTTACAGGCACCCCGATCTGAGGAATGGATTGCATACCGTGACTGGAGTATCAAATATGGTAGTGTGGCACTTGGCAACTTCGCAGCTGTGGCACTAATGCCTTACAAGGTTCCGAGTTAGTGCGCCTCTCATCATTCGGTACGCACACAATCATCGTGAACTCGGCGCGCGCCGCATACGAACTATTCGAAAAGCGGTCTACTTTGTATTCTGATCGGTGCGTCTTGTACGATGTTTCCCTGTCGACGTATAATGACAACTCCCACAGGCCCACGTTCACTGCAATGACCTAGTGAGTGCCATACCCACTCGAGTGGCCTCTCAAGATGGCCGATAGCATGATGAGTCTTGGCTATAGCCGATGGCTGATCGGCTTCGTGCGATACGGGCCAAAATGGCGTCTCATGCGCAAAACATTCCATGAGCAGTTCAGAGCCAACACTCTCGCTCGATATGAATCGTATCAAGTTCAGGCTGTACACGCCTTTCTGCAGACACTTGTCTCCGATCCGCAGGAATTCAAGGAGAACGTGCGGCTGTGAGTTGTGTCTGTTTTTCGCATTTGATCTGGGCTTAACGAGCGCGCAAGCCTAACGGGAAAGATTATCATGCATATTGCATATGGCATCGAGGTCAAAAACTATCATGATCCCTTTATCACGATCATTGAAGCTGCATTGACCGCTATCAACCACTCTGCCACATTCGGCGGACTGGTTCTCGATCTCGTACCATTCCGTAAGTAGTTGTCTCCCAAGTTACTTTACCGTCCAGGGAGAACATGTTGAAGCTTATGCTCTGGTTGCAGTGCAGAAGATGCCCTCTTGGTTCCCTGGGGCCGGCTTCAAGAAATATGCCGCTCAAGCGCGGTCAGAAGTCGGTGATGGAGTCATGGAGATGCCATGGGCTGCTTTTATGAATGCCAAGGTACAATTGAGACTCTCCGATCGCACATTCACGATCCCTCATAGCTTGGAACGTCACAGAAAGCAGGTCTTGACGAGACGCAACAGACATCGGTCGCAGCGATTCTACTCGAGAAGTACGGTGGCGATCCGGAGCTTGAGCTAGTGATCAAAGCGATTCCCGCGAATATGTACATCGCTGGAGCAGATACGGTAGGTCACGTTGTCATGCTGGCACGTATGGCGGTACCCCGAGATCTGATAGACTCCCCCATAGACGGTTTCGTCTATCACGTCTTTCTTCCTGGCGATGCTACTATACCCGGAGGCTCAAACCAAAGCTCATGAAGAGATCGATCGCGTGCTACAAGGAGCGCTACCAACCTTGCAAGACCGCGAAAGGCTTCCTTACACCATGGCGCTTGTTAAAGAAGTCTTCCGCTGGCATCCGGTTACAACCCTCGGTGCGTGCCATGCGTGTTTCGAGCTCATCTTGTCTCTCACTACTACATTAGCTATCCCTCACGCGCTCACGGACGATGACGTTTACGATGGCTTATTCATACCGGGAGGAAGTACAGTGCGCATTGATCACCTTGTGTGGCCATCACATTGTCTGAACTGCCACCAAACTGCCACCCTAGGTCGTTGGCAACGTTTGGGCCATCTTACACGATCCAGAATTCTTCCCGGACCCCGAAACATTCAACCCCGCGCACTTCATATCAACGAGCCACGGCGGCACTTATCCAGCAGACGCATGTCAGGGCGACGAAGTACCATATCCCGATACCGCTTTTGGATTTGGTCGGCGCATATGCCCTGGGAGAGCTCTCGCGAAAACGAGCGTCTGGTTGACGGTCTCCAGTGTTCTTGCAGCCTTCGATATAATCCCTGCGAAGGATGGCACTGGAAGCCCAGTGCCCGTAAAAGAGACATGGTCGAGCGGAGTCGTCGGTTATCCGGGCCCTTTTGTATGTGATATCAAGCCGCGAGGACGAGCGGTGGAAACGGTTATGGCTCAAGCCAATGGCGAGGTAACAACTTGATGACACCTGCTTACGCCTGACTCTCGAATTGTATAGTCTTGCACTCAACGCTTTCTGCTGTCGAACCCGGACCCATCTTGTATACCTCGTACTGCCCTTGGCATGCATGATATCGCGTTCTTTGCCGCCGTCTGGTCTCAACCCCAGACCTTCACGCGCCGCTCACGCCAGTTCTGTCCCACCCTCCACTCGCTATGATCTCGCTCGTCGTTATCACGGCTTTCACTTGATTCGTCCCATGTACTCAACACATGTACATTGTATCATTCTAAATAAACGCTTAGGCTCGATTAGCTCGTGCCACTACCGTTTCCGCAACGAGTGGCAGCGAATCGTGGTTCGCAGTAGAGCCCGCACACCCTCTACGAACGCATATTCATATCCGCAGGTTCTCTCGTGATGGGACATGTCTGGACAACACTGCACGACCCTGCAGTGTTTCCTAACCCCGATACATTTGATCCCGCCCACTTCCACTCGAGCGAAAAGGGTGGAACATACCCTGCACACCTAGCATGCACCGACGGCGAGCCACCGTTCCCCGAGATTGCCTTTGGCTCTGGCGCAAACGCCCTGGTAGGCTGCTCGCTACGAGCATTGCTTGACTTATCGCCGCGAGCGTACTTTCCATGTTCAACATCGGTCCGGCGAAGGATGAGAATGTGGAAGACGTACCGATTGCGGCCAATTTCTTGCTTGAGTGGTGTGAGCTTTCCTGCCCCATATAGGTGAGCAACAAAGCCGCGTTCCCCAGGAGCAGTAGAGATAGTCATAGCCACAGCTACGGAAGAGCTATAATAAGGTCCCTCAGGTTTGTGATAGGTCCTTTGAGTCAAGGATGCACATCTTCGCTCGAGCTTCCTTGTGCGACGGCGTGCGAGGCGCGCTCGGACTTCAAAATCAGAGCGTGATAGCGCCGAATACGTTCAGCTTCTTGTTATCTTGTTGAACTCCCTGGGTCGCATACTTAGTGTAGCATGTAGCTGTAGCCGAGTCTTCCGTCGCGCACCGTTGAGTACAATGCTTGAGGCTTGAAGTTCTGATGCCGGGACAATGCCCGTCGCCACAGTCAGCCTCAACTCGTGTTTATGATTAGCGTTCCGTTCGCGCAAATCATTACACCGGCGTCTTTTCTCCGCGAGCGCTGATACAGATGGGCCGTTGGGCGTGCAGGGTGGTCGAGATCCACATGCACACTGCGTGCTCGCGCGACGGGGCGCGATCCCCATGGGGGTTTGAACGTTGAATGGACGGAACGTGCGCAGACAGGCGCAGACGGTAGGCGGAACGTTCGGCAGGCCATCTGTGCCGACGACCGTGTCTAGCCCGTGAAAGTTATAGTTGGGCCTCACCGTGAGCACGAGGGGTACCCGTGTTTATGACGGTTTGACACTCTTGCGGGCGCTTGTGGGCGCGTCTCGGCCAGTGGCATATTAGGGGTCGCGGCGGCCGTCAAGCCGAAGTCCGATAATTGGATATTTTTTACAGACACCACTGGCTTCGGAGAAAGGGCCAAGACAAGGCAGATAGCCGGTGAGAGGATGGTAGACACGGCACAGAGAGCGTCCTGGGTAACTTCATGGGGCTTCTCGGTGACCGAAGGGGAGGAAGGTTAGATGAGGCGGGAAGAGGAAGACGCTACATGCGGATCGCGGCACAGGGAGATCGCGGTGGACCGTGGGCCGTCAGTTATCTGCCCGACCTATACGCAGCCTGTTAGTATCATTGCTAGTAGGCGACACAACCTAGTTTCAAACCACTATACGATGCCGAGTAGAGTTTGGCGACCTACCGACTGTAGTCGGCGTAATCAGACACTCATCAAGTTGTTGAACAACCGATAGCCGGCATTCTTATGTCCAAGGCCAAGGGAAAAGAGAAGCGCGAAATCCGAACTTGGATGCGGCGTGGCTGTTCGCTCTCATGGTCGGAGAAGATTACCATTGACATGGTTGTATAGCAATTGTATAGCCAGAACACGATGATGAGATCGAGAACACAGTGACGAACACGGTAGATCGACGCGATTGTAATAATTTGTGCATCACAGAGAGGAGGACAGGCTGCAAGTAGTCGTACTGTATATAGTGCCGCGAAGGCCGAACTAAGACTTTTCCTTTGTTCTATCCAGGGCAGTAGGTGATCGATGATGGCGGTCCCGGAGCAAAAGGCGCAGCATCCGAGGTTGATGAAGTGACGTGCGCGAGCGCGGAGGGTGCAGGCACGGACAACACTACGGTCCATGGCCGTTTGACGTTCGACCACGACCACCATGCCCGTACCCGCTCCTGCGTCCTCCAACTTTCTCGCTCCGCCGCCTCACCACACGCTACACAAGGCGCGGCCAGCCAACGCGATCAAGGGCAAATCTCGAGCGACGTCGGACGTATTCCGGCCGAACCTACCACTCGACCCGTTCGCAAGCCTGCCCAAGCAGCCCATCCGGATTCCACCTGAGGCAATATTTGCCCTCTCTGTTGCGGAGCCTGCACGCGATGTTGTATTGGCACTGGGAGGTCAGTACACCTTCTGTTATACTCGACTATCAGTTTCAGCCGGCGGAGGTAGTGCCGCGCTGGTGCGGTCTTAGCAGCATCGCTGCACTGTGCGTCCTCACGCTGGCCAGCTACGTGCGTTGGGGCGCTCTCCAGAGGCAGCGATATTTTTGCTCTTTCGGTTCCTCTTGGCACGTCCGTTTAGAGTGACGTCTCCGTCATGTCTCGGATTGGTCGCATTTGACACGCCTAGGGGTCATTCCGCTCGTGGCTATTCATTTTCCCTCGCTGTACCCTCTTGCGCCTCGCGAGTCGCAGATGTCACTTGAAAGAGGATGGGAGTGCCGGACGCGCCATCGACACGTCCAATATCGCGATACTCTATCCTCATTTGATCGTGCCCTGTTTTTTTGTTAACTGACAACTGACGTCTATCCTGACAGAACCCTCCGCGGCCCACCTCGACGCCTTATTCCGCTCCCAACATCTCGCATTCTCGTTGTTGATTGTGGCATCTCATGACCCACCCCCGATCCCGCCTAATGTCGTGCCGGCCGTGCGCGTACTCCGATTGGCACAACCGCTGGACCTCGAACATGCCGGCGCTGTCCGACTCGTGAACGTTCTTGAATGGGCCGAGCGAGTCGCACGCTCGTGGCGCAAGCGAGGAGGCATTGGTGTTCGCACTATCGACGAACATGACCTCGGAGCCCTCGCACCTCCGCCAGCCCTTCGCTCACGTGCTTCCTCGAGCGCTTCATCGTCCTCCACTCGTCGCCCAACTATGAAGGAGAAAGCCCGCGAAAGTGCGAGCATGCCTACAAGCCCGCATGCGTCGACAGTGAATCTGCACTCGACATCGTCTAGTGCATCATTTCGCATGATGCGCAAAAACGCCGAACGTGCTCTTCCGCCTGCGGATCCGACCCAGCGCCCATTCGATGCATTGATTCACTGTATTGCTCCGGGCGCTAGCGATACCGCCATGCTCAAGCAGGCTATTCTTGTCACCACGGTGTCTCGACCTTTCCTCGTCGCCGCTGCTCCGCCAATGCCCGCCACTATGCGCAGCCAGTCGGCGCCAAACTCTCGCGCTAGTTTCCTAGGAAAGAGGACTTCGGGTTTCAGAGGATCGGTACATTCGCTGTACAGCATGCCACCTACACCACCGATCTCTTCCGGCGAGAGTCTTTCCTCACTCGTACCCGCTCCGCCTCCCTCGACGCGGGCACATCTCATTCATCTTCTATCCGCCCCACCGCCACGCACAGCACACAGGGTACTCCGGAGCATCGAATCTTTCCTTCTCAACTTCGCTTCGCCTGCCGAAGCAGGCGCGCACGGGAGGCCAAGCAGTATGCAGCCTGCGCGTGCATTTCTGCTTGACGCGCAGGCGTTTGCCGCGCCATTATCCCTGCCGCCTGATCTTGGACTCCCACCCGACTGGTCCGTGGCCGATACACTGCTGGGTGGGTGCGCGGACGGCGATATGTCTTCTACTATCGCACTAGCACCCACACCGGCCATCGCGGCGGCCCCCTCGAACGACGTTCCACGCGCATGGCTCCTCGGCGCCCGGGATCTCATTGTACTTCCTGCTGCTCCAAGCCCAACGGTCGAGGAGCCAGCGCGCACACATAACCGCATAAGACACCAGAGTTACGGCGCTGTGGAAGGCATGGGTCTCGCAGAGAGCGGTGCTCCGCGGATGCCGCGAGTTTTGAGAAGAACTTCGACGCCTGGTGGCCCCAATCAGGTTGCGCCAGGGAAGAGCGCGGGTGGTCTCCCCACACCGCCGGACAGTGAAGAGGAAGCTGCCGGCGGGGAAAGCCCAGCCAGCACGGCGATGTTGAGTGGCAACGGGGATTCCAGTGGGCCGCTTTGGAGCAGTAGTGCGAGTGCGCCGCTGCCAGATGGGAGGGAGAAAAAGAGACGGCGGTGGATGTTCTGGAAACGGGCCCCATAAACTCCGAGCTTGGTCGTGAGTATGTGCTCTTATGTCTCTGTCTGGGTTTCTTCTACTGCACCTCGACTCTCTTTCATGCACTGGTTGTTCCTGCTATCCCCTTGCATTTTTCTCGGTTTTCTGTCTGCTCGTTTCTTGCCCGGTCCAACTCGCACATACACGCTCTCTACTTCGCTACCACGCGCCGTCGCACATTACTCGCTCTCTGGGACTTTCGCATGCTTTTCGAAACGTATCATCCCATAGACTCTCAATCACAGACGCATCCATACGCATACTCGTACTCCTAACACCCACTTGCCACCCGGAAGGTCTGGCGCCATGTATCCCTCTAACATCGTATTTGTCCTCTATCCCCCCACTTCTTCATACCGGTCACTTGCTCTTGCCATCTTGATTATTCTCTATATCCTTATACCAAACCGGACACTACTGCACATATATACGTGGCCGTAGGTTAGCAATGCAGGCTTTTTGACTCGCTCATGTCGGTTAAGAGGGTCGGCTCAGGAGGTGTGTTTACTACTTGATATGGCTCAGTAGGTACCCTTTCGGTCCCAGCTATGACGCTTTGTACCGGTGTTGTCGGTGACGACTCCGCGAGTGTGCGCTTGGGCGCTTGAGCTCTCGAGCCCCTCGATGACGACGTCGAGGGCGGGATCCTGTCGTGTGCTCGCGGGTACCGGCCCGGAAAGAATACTTACTCGTGTCACTTGTACTCGCATTTATTCCCCGCGTAAAGCCTTGGTACACCTATGGGTATTCGTTGGCGATGGAGACTCTGACAGAGTGCACCAATGACCATGATGTAAGCGGCGAATAGAAGGTATAATAGACAATAAGACAGACCATCGCACAATCGAGGCCCCAGAGGGTCGAATATAGACAGAGATTGTTGTGGCGCTCGGGAAGACATAGTGCTTCTTCGCGACCCTGAGCGTGGATAAGGAGTAAAGCAAGTCTGTATACTACCTCAGCTTCATTACTCCCGGCCACCCGGCAGATAGAGCGCTGGCGAAAGGTATGAATACTCTGATCCTTCCTCCTGCCATCAGTGGCTAGCCGCGAAGATATACTCGACGCTCGTGATTCTGGTCCGTACAGACAGCGCTCAACCTGACGCACTCGTAGCAGCCACGAGTAGTCGAGTACTAGGGGACCGAGTAGCTTGGGAGCCTACTATATGTGACGGCGTGCCTGTAGAGAGACTTCTATAGAAGAGGTGTATGGCAATCCATACGGTGTGGTAGTCCTAATGTTCAGGTTCAGACCTCGTCATCAGGCATGCCTTCCAAGTATCAGACTCTGGATATATATTGACTTTGGTGAGAGAGAGGGCGACACCCCAGTGTAGAATCAGCAATATCAAAACCACTTCGTATCGACGGCCCGAGGCAGAATCGCAGGGATTGGTATAATATGCACTTGGTCCATGTTTTGGTGTATCCCCGTCAACAACAGTGGCAACGACGCAGAGGCGGCATAGGTGGTAATCGCTCGTCACTGTTTGGGCCAACATCCGATGCGCAGCGTCGCGGTCATGCGGTGCCGCGACGAGTTTTGTTCGGCCGCGCAGGTTGACCTCAACTTCCAACTCGAGTGGAGTACGGCACCTCCTCATCTCTCGGTGGTCCTGCCGGATGGTTCCATAGATCACACCGTTCACTCACTGGCGCAGAGTACGCGTGCTCTGCTGATTTGCCTAGTATACCTCATCTGTGAATCAACAAGAGGGCTTGGACGTGTTCCCCCGTTGCTGCACGTTGAACTCCAAATACGCTGTTCTGAATGGAATACCCATACCCACAAGATGGCAGACCTTTCCTGTCAGTCCTTGATCTTCAGGCTCGCTCCTCATGGATAGGCTGATTCAGTATCTTCGTCTATCGATCGTCGCAGGGAAGGCGCAGTCATGGGCCCGAAGTTGACGTATGGCCTTACCGTTCCAGTGCAGATGCTCCTCTTCTCTGTGAAGGCTACAGACGATTGCGTGGCTCGGCTGGAAGTGTGTTGGGAGCCGGCGGCGCGATGTATTGACGGACTTCCCCGGCTACGTATGAGACACTCCTCAAGTTACAATGGTACCTCGCCCAAGAGAATGTCACGGCACGAATTAGGTCTTGCTACAGATCCGAAAACATCCTTTGGGCATGCAAGATAACGCAATCGCATCCATAAACAAGCTACCCGAGCTCAGTCAGCTTCCTGAAGTTTGCTCGTGGATGCCGTGGGCTTGTCGTATAAACGCTTGGCCGCATAGCGACTCTGACGGCCCATACCCCTTCCCTCCCATACCAAAAACGCTCAGCCAGACATGTCTACTACAGACAAGGTCATCCCAACTCTCTTTAAGCCGACCAAGCTAGGCAACTTATTGTTGAACCATCGAGTTGTGCTAGCACCGCTCACGCGTTTCCGCGCGGACGACGACTCCGTGCATACGGAGCTGGCCGTCGAGTACTACAGACAACGTTCCAGCACCCCCGGAACTTTCCTCATCACCGAGGCGACTGTCATCGCGCCACAAGCCGGTGGCTACCCTAACGCGCCTGGTATATGGAACAACGAGCAGGTTGCAGCATGGAAGAAGGTGCGATGAAGATCACGTACTGCTTCAAATGGTATAGCTAAACGACAAACTATTAGATTGCTGATGTCGTCCACGGGAATGGCTGCCCCATCTTTATGCAATTGTGGTCCATAGGCCGCGTAGCCGTCCCGGAGGTGCTGGAGAAGTATGGACACGATGTCGTCGGCCCGAGCGCGATTGCCCTTGACGCGAACCACGCGACACCTCGAGCGCTCACCGTTGATGAGATTAAGGAGTATGTCCAACTCTACGCGCAGGCGGCGAGGAACGCCATCCGTGCTGGCTTCGACGGTAAGCCGGTCAGGTGTCTACTTCCCGAGATCATGACTTGACCGGCTTTCAGGTGTTGAGGTTCACTCTGCGAACGGTTACCTTCTTGACGAGTTTATCCAGAGCAACTCAAACCACCGGACGGACGAGTATGGTGGAAGCATTGAGAACCGTATCCGCTTCACCGCAGAAGTCGTTGAGGCCATCGCGGCGGCGGTCGGTCCTGAGCGTACCTCCGTCAGATTGAGCCCGTGGTCAAGGTTCCAAGCAATGCGTATGCCGGACCCGATCCCGACGTTCAACGCACTTGTGCAGCGCCTCGCCGATACGCAGCCCGCTCTCGCCTACCTGCACATCGTAGAGCCTCGGGTAAACGGCGAGGCCGACGCGACAGATGTAGGCGAAGACAACAACGATGTCCTCAAGAAGATTTGGTCCCCTCGGCCTCTTGTCGTCGCAGGTGGCTTCAGCCTGGAGACTGCCCTACAAGTGTCAGAACGCCAGGAGAATGTACTTGTCGCGATGGGCAGGTATTTCATCTCCAATCCAGATCTGCCGAGAAGGTGGCAGGAGGGCTTCGCTCTGGCTCCATATGAACGACAGTACTTCTACTCTCGGGGATCTAGAGGTTATACAGACTATGCACCCTACGTAGAGGCGACCAAGATTGCAGTCTGAATGCCCGAATGTATCCGTTCGCTCTGCTTCGCGTAGCTCATGCCGTTTTATGAACGATATCATGCGTGAGAACAAGACCGGATGTTGCCGAGATCCAGGTCCAATCGTGGCCAGGCCTTCGCCCGAACGCCCACGACGTCGCTGAGCGCTTGAGCTCGGGACAAACATAGTAGTCCTTTTCCATCGATTTAATTCAGCTTAGCCGCCCGGTCCGCTTGATCAGTGATGCTGATGACTTGAGAACCTATTCAATCCTTTGCAAGAGCACCTTCCATCTCTCTGTGCCACCACCGCGAACGCCATGTCCCTTTTTCTGCGGTCGAAGAATGTCATCGTCAAGAGTGCTGAAGAGGCTTTATGGGTGCTCATGGGGTAAGTACGCCGCGCTATGAACCACTATGTATGGTGGTCAATGTCGCGTGCCTCAGGAAGCAGCGAGTAGAAGGGAACGAGCTCAGGTACGCAGGGACATGCAATGATCATATCATGTTCTCATCCGTCTAATACGTCCTTCTCAGCGAAGACGGAAGAGGCAGAGAACTCAGCGACATCCAAGAGCTTCAGTGAGTGGGTGGATATGCACATGTCTGTCTCGATGTTGAGAGATGTAGTCAACCACCTACAGTACAACGCACAGCGAGGTTCGCATGCCACATGGACTTCTTCGAGCATCTTGTCTTACCTCATCGACAGGATCCAGCCTCCTTTGCACGCCTTGATCATAGGCATTGATCGATACCTTTCCAAACGCGTGTCCAATCTGCGAGGATGTGTCGCTGATGCTGATGCTGTGGCCGAGTACCTGCAGACTGAGCTCTCAGTGCCCGCCAATCAGGTCACGAATCTACGCAATGATCAGGCCACACGGGCTGGGATTATCAAAGCCATACAGGACTTAATTGACAGTCGGGACGTCGGACATGGCGATCCTATTCTCATTTTCTATGCTGGGCACGGCGCGTCGAAGCGAGCGCCTACCGGATGGAGCACGAGCACTGGTATGATCTCGATGATTATACCGCACGATTGCAAGAAGCCTGGACCGGACGGGCGCAAAGTTCATGGGATACACGATCGGTTGCTTGGTTCACTATTCTCAAAACTCGCCGAGAAGAAAGGTGACAACATCGTATGCTCGTTGACTCATTCTTCGCCCGAGGAGCCCTTCTGATACGAACAACTTAGACCGTTATCTTTGATTGCTGCTTCTCTGGTGGTGGCACACGCAAGAGCTTCTACGAACCGACGCGTCTTGTGCGCGGTATCAGTTACGAGGACGATCTACCGGATGATTTAGACGAAGATCTATTGGGCAAGCACGATGCAACCCGCGCCGCAGCACCGCAGAAAGTGGCTGTTGGGCTAGCCTCGCATGTCCTGTTAGCGGCCTGTCAGTCAGATGAAGTCGCAGGGGAGGAGCGCGGCCGCGGTCTCTTCTCTCAAGCGTTACTCGAGACACTAAAAGCCGTTGGCGCCGAGAAGGTCACATATTTGGATCTACGAAGGAGGCTGCCGGATTTACCTGGGTAAGACCTTATTCTTGCCCATCTAACTACGCACGAAAGTTACTGATAGCATCGTGTAGACAGAATCCTCAGTTTGAAGGAGCCAACATCGACCGTCTCCTCTTCGACGCCCGCGCACCAAGCCGAGACCGTGCCCTATTCCGCATCAACCAGGTTGATGGCAGTTACGTACTTGAGGCCGGTTCGGCGCATGGTATTACGGCGGGTGCAGTGTTCTCGGTCTACAGCACTCGCAACTTCCTATCGAGCGATGACCCTCTCGGGACGCTCGTGGCATCCGCGCCCGCTGCCTTCACCACCACAATGTCCCTGGTCTCCACACAAAGCGCACCTTTTGACATTCCCGACCGCGCAGGCTACGCGTTGCAGGTCTCGGCCAGTCAAGACGAGGCGCTGAGATTGCACGTCCCTTTACAGCAAGGGCTATTGGCTGTATTTGAAGCCATCGCGGCGGAGCTGAACGCGCCCACGCCTGGAAAGCGCGCAATCTTACTGGTCGAGCAAGACCGCGCCGATCTGAGCGTGACCCTCGCCGATGACGGCCAAAGCATCGAGTACCTTCTCCCATCTACGATGATCACTCGCTACGGCCTTACACGTCTATACCACACGTCCCCACCACAACCACCGGCCATCCGCCGTGTTCTACAAGCCGCTGCACACTTCTTCTGGCATCTGCGCCGCTCACCTGAGCAAGGTCTGCTGCGGCACAAAGTCGACATTGAGTTGCAAGTGCTGGAATCTACGGGCGAGCTCAATTTCGACGTGGACCATTTTGACGACATGGAGGTGTACCAGCCTGTCGGCGATAATCTCATCCAAGAGGGAGTGGTAGACGTGGAGGTCGTCGGGGAGATCGGGCCGAATAAAGTTGCGAAGAACTTCGAGTCGGCAACGGTGTACGGTCTAACACTGCGCAGCAAGACCCCCGATATACCGTTGTATGTCGGTCTATTCTACTTCGATTGCAGTGAGTTGAGCATCTGTGAGTAACACTACCATGTGATTACGGCAAACCCTGACGCGTCTCAGCGGAATATTATGCCTCGCCTGCTACGGGACCGAGGGCCGAACCTTCTCTTCCTGCCAATGGAATCCTTCCTATAGGGTATGGAGACGGAGGCGGACGTCCCTACAACTATTACCTGCGTCAGGGCCAAGATCTTGATGTCGGTTTCCTGAGACTCTTCTTGTCGGTGGAACCCATACACTTCTCTGGCATCGCACAGCAGAGCCCTTTCGAGCTAAATAGCAGGCAATTTAGAGCTGAGGCCGAACCTCTATGGGACGCGGTAACTATTGCCGTGGTGCAGAGGAAGCCAGGTACCAAGATCGAAGCGCCTGTGGACACCGAGTAGCTATATCGTCCGGGATTGAATATATAACTACATGTAAATACACAAGGACATTGTAAATCACTTCGCCACGGATTGAGCAGCTCCTCTCTTTTCCCCAACTTTGTCCACAAGGGGGGCATCGGCAGCATTTGCCGCAGGTATAGGTAGCTTATCTGTCGCTTCCTTACGCGGAGCTCTGATATCGCCCTTGAACCCGATGAAGTAGACCCTCGAGACATCCTCGCCGACGGAGTTGCTCTGAGCATATGTCAGCGCTCGCGCGGGGAAGAAATTACTCCCAAACTCACGAAGAAGAGACTTAGGGAGTGTATATTAGCAAAGGTGGCTGCACGTAGGGGGTACTCTACCACCCCAGTCTGTCCTTCCTGCAAAGCTATATCGACGGACGGCCTCGCATCGTCCGCGGCATCAAAATCAATGATGTTAGCATTATTAGCAAATATTCGCAGACGCCGTGGGGTAGTCTCTCCTCGACCTGAAAGCGGAATCAGTAGGGAGCGAGAGGCACAGACGCAAGCAAGAAACTGTACCAGTCTTCACCAGCAGGGTACGTAGTCTGACATTCTGCACGAACGGTACATGGATGATCATCTATAGATATTGCTGAGACATCAATGTTGGCCCTTTCAGCAGTTTCTGAAGTGTCCGACCTGGTCATCGACGTTAGAGTCTGCATATTTGTCGGTGGATTCACGTTCATCCCAGGGTTTAATAGTCTCCTTGGCGTCTTCCGGGACAGTGATATTGAGTGCATGTACGCTTCGCAATGAGACGCGTCACCCACCCGATCCTGGTAATGGCAGCGCGAGGGCAGGCTCACTTGTCGCGATCTATGGCAGAGAACATATTATCATCTCCGCCACCGGTGAGCTGTGCCGCATTCGAGTGCTCATCGCTGTCCGCCATGGTCTGAGATCGTGGTTGAGATCCAAGTCCCGTTCGCTGATATCCGAGTCCACGTGTACGCATCACGGTCACGTCTCCGTGGCACCGCTCGGCTTGTGTATGCCTTCCTTTCTCTCTTCCACGGCGACTCTGGTGCGCCGCTTGTTGACCGATCCCGAATACTACTGGTTTCTCGCCGCCTTGGTCATAGTGGGAGATGCGGTTCTTACTCAGCTGATCATACGCTTCGTGCCCTGTGAGATTCTCGCGAACGGCGGGACGCGGCCTTCGAACTGACGTGCTGGTAGACACGGAGATCGACTGGTCGACATACATGTACCAGATACAACTCTACATCAAAGGAGAGCGTGACTACTCACAGATCAGTGGGCCCACTGGACTTCTCGTGTGCGTACTTCGCGGTTCATTTCGCAAATTGCCTAACCTATACTGTCCACAGGTATCCGGCCGGACATGTCTTCGTTCATCACGCATTGCACGACATCACGAATGAGGGCTCTAATTTGGGCATGGCTCAGCAGATATATGCCGCCTTGTACATACTTTCCCTCGCACTTACCTGTGCCATCTACCATACCGCCGGCGGGGTGCCCAACTGGATCCTACTCCTGCTTCCTCTGAGCAAGCGCTTGCATTCCATCTTCGTTCTTCGCATGTTCAACGACTGCTGGGCCGTTATCGGCGCTCAGCTTGCTATCTTGGCATATGCGAATGATCTCGAAAGCCTGGGTACCACTCTTCTGAGGTCTGTCCTTCAGTGCTGTATTCGATGCCACAATACTCACTCGTGCAGCATGGCTATATCTGTCAAAATGTCCGTCCTGCTCTACATACCAGGACTGCTTGTCATCCTCGTGAAAGGCAATGGACTGTCGTCCACTATTCGCAACGTCTTCATGATGGTGGCCTTGCAGATGTTGCTAGGGAGGCGGTTTCTCACCGAATTTCCCCGCGAATACCTTCGCGGCGCGTTCGATCTGTCCCGCGTCTTCTTGTACAAATGGACCGTGAACTGGCGCTTCGTGGACGAGCAGACTTTCTTGAGTCCAAACTTCGCTCGTGCACTCCTGATCGGCCATATTACCATGCTCGTCGCGTTCGGATTCAGATGGTCGCAAAGAGACGGCGGCGTGGCCCTGCTTCTGAGACGCGCGTTGACATACCCCAAAGAAGCATGCAGCTATCTTACTATAACGACTGACGGTGCGCTTTCAATGACCTCACTGGAGCGTGTGATATTGACAGTCATACACAGAAATCACCACGATCTTCTTCACTTCCAATCTGATAGGGATGCTTTTCTCGCGTTCGTTGCATTACCAGTTTTACTCCTGGTATGCTTATCAGCTGCCCTTTCTGGCATGGCGCACGCGTTATCCGGTCCCGCTTAAGTACGTCGTATGATCAATTTTGGAATATAGAGGCTGACATAAGACGTCAGATTAGCGCTTCTCGCCGCGATTGAGTATAGCTGGAACGTCTACCCTTCCACCGTACTCTCATCCGGTATCCTGTGCGCCTGCAACGCCATACTACTCGCGGGCGTTTGGACTGGGCACGCACAAGGTGTTCAGATCAAGCCTCTCGCTCCCCCCAAGTCCCGCTCGCATTCACCGGAATAGTACACTCATGTGCTCTCGCACACTGCCGTATGTAATTTGTACAAATTCTCGATCAGTCAATCGCTTTCCGGTAGTGATGCCATGTACAGTTTGTGACAGGCCGAAGTGTGCTATACAGTAGCGAGCATGGGAACATAGACCAAGAGACAGTCTTGAATGTCGCACTAGCGCTAATAGCGAGATCGCCACTACCCGCGCTCCCAAGGTAGGAGGGAGCGGTAGAACGATGAGTTCTCATCATGGCCGGGGACTAAGAGACACCGTCGAAGTCCTTCGTAGCCATCACTGCTGCCTCGGCTTTCTTTCCTCGCGTTCTAATGTTGCATTCGTATGGACCAGGAAACCCTACCATTCCACTAGACCAAGTTTCAATGATCGGCACGTCTCTCCCTTCAGCATCCTTAGCTGGGTGTATCTCGAACGCAGAGAGAACGCTGGCGACCGTCAACCAGACCGTCACCTTCGCTAGAGCGCGCCCGGGACACAGACGACGTCCAAAGCCGAAAGCGAATTCCGGAAATGGTGGCTCTCCCTCCTTGCACGCATCCGCTGGGCATGTCCCACCCATTGTGGCCGAGATAAAATGGTCTGGATTGAAAGTTTCGGGGTTGGGGTACAGCGCGGGATCGTGTAGGAGGGCCCACACATTGCCGATCACGACGCTGCCAGCGGGAATGTACATTCCCTCGTAGATGTCGTCGGTCGTCGCGGCATGTGGAACAGCTGCGTGAATACGGTGAGCTTCAAATATGAAAGAGCCGTGCACAAGATGACATACCCAGCGCTGTAACAGGATGCCACCGGAGCACCTCCTTCACGAGTGCATTCAAGTATGGTAGTCTTTCGCGATCTGCGAGTGTAGGCAGAGCATCACCAAGAACCTCATCGAGCTCCATGTGTGCTTTCCTCTGCACGTCGGGATACATAGCCATCGCCATGATGAAGGACAGAAGTGATGAGACCGTCTGTCGCAAGGATCATTGTCGATAGCTTGGAGACGAATCTCGAGGGTATAGACTTACCGTGTCCGCTCCACCGAGATACATAGTTGTCGGAACTGATTTGAGAAGCTCTTGAAGATCCGGCTCATCCCGGTGCTTATCGAATAAGTTGCCTGCTGCCGAGAAGTGTCGGTTGTCGGAGGTGTCGGCCATCTATGGGTGCATGGCTTGGTTAGGATGACCTCGTCGCATATGCAGTGGGTGCTTCTACCTTGTCCTTCAGCATCGCCGTCCAAGGCTCATCTAACGCCGCTCGGCTCAACTTCCTGCGTCGCACATCGTCGACGAAACGCTTGAAGCCCGCGCCTGGAAACCAAGAAGGCATTCGTCGTACTGAGTAGATTCAGGCATGCCGTCAATGCCTCCATACTGGCAAACACTCACAGAATGGAAAGTAGTCAAATATCAGGCCTTCAAACGAGGTCGCGACGTTCATAGCGTGCAGGGTATCCTCGGCAAGTTGAACGTATGGATCTTCGGGTCCTTGGACATGAATCCCGAACGCGATGCGCATGATGATCTTGGCTGTCATGCTATATATACAAGCAATTCAAATTCTTGAAACGACAACGAGTCTATGAAAGGCACTGACTGTCTGACACTTGCCTTGAACTGGTCTGGCCTTCTGACCAGCGATCGCAGAAACTCGTGTATCGCATCGGCCTCGAGTGATTCATATCTTGCCAGGATCTCGGTTTTGAATTGCTCGCGGAATGATTTGCGAAGTTGACGCCAAGTCGTCCCGTAGCGCGTGAAACCTAAAAGCCAGCCCATGCCTATGCTATAATCGCATCGTGAGGATGCAAGAGGTGCGCCAAAGTTATTGCTAAGTTGCGGACGCACTATTTCACTGCCGTTACCTCTGGACTGCGATACCCTGCAATCAGTACGTGGACTTTCTCAAAGTCAGGGGGCCTCTCACCGGTCCGAGTACAAGGCAGATCGCTTCTCGAACAGCTCTGATGCTGCGCGTGCTGAGTTGACCACTATAGTGTGTACTCCGAAAGACGTGAAGTGAATGAGATCAGAGCCTGGGTTGCATTAGACGTATATGTTAGGGATGGACACCGTGGCGCGTACTGTACTTTGTGCTCCAGTCGCGGTAGGTGATCCACTCGTTGCCCTTTGGTATGTCGAAGAGATTGTCGAAGACGGGAAGACCGGTGGGTCCAGGAGGAAGTGGGCCCCCCCGGCGAGCTCTTGCAGACACGAGGATCCTTTGCCATACGAGAACCAAAAGGAGTAAAGAGAACACAAGCAATGCGTCGAGGATACGCAGATTATCTAGCATGCCCGGCAGAGACATGGTGCGATCAGAGAAGTCCGGTGAAGCGTGAGCTCCGCTTCGGCGTGCCGTGGACAGTCTACTTATATCGTCACTCACGAAGCGACCCTGACCACTCTCAACAAATTCCACGGTCAAACTGAGCAAAGGCGGTCGACATGATAGGACGTTAGTGGAGTATAGACCACGAGTTTCGATATGGTCACAGGATACGTATATCGAACCGAGCACTGTGGAGAAGTGAATTCCACCAGCGGTAACTTTGAATGATGAGCAGAACCATCGTCTTATCTCTCACAAGAAACATGGCTAGTGCGGTTCATTTCCCTTTCAATCCTCGCTCATCTGCGATGTAGGCCCTCAGAAGCCTTCACCTGACATCTTACACGGCGATACGATTCTTCCGAACAGCATACTGAGGTGGAGATGTGCAAATGGTCTTCCGTCAGAAGCCTGCTCCAACGCCTGACTCGTACAGCTGACGGCTGCTCCGGGGGCAGTCGCGAGTTTGTATAGCGTATTTGAATGGCGACCTTATTGTTCTGAGGAAGCTGCATGCTGAGAGAGGCGGCGCAGTCTATACCGGTGTATCTGAGAGCCGATGTGGCTTTGCAAGAGAAAGATTCCGTAGGCCGTGCTACGCACAGCAGGAGCACGTATAGATTGTGCATCGGTCGATCGTGCGTGATCTAGCGACAGTATTAGCGAGACCGTCCGACAGTGAGATATAAGCCTGCGTACCCATGAAAAGCCGGTTCGGAACCTGTAGACATCTATTCGGGCTATGACATCTAAGAGTTGCCGATACCACTTTCAGCAACTCGGGAGACCCGGCGGCATATTGTCGCCGTCCTTATAGACGCTCAGCGCTCAGCGCTGGGCCTTCTCGAAGCGATTCCATCAAGTACGGAGTCTGGTTGAGCAATGAGATGACATCCATTACTTGATCGAGAGATCATCGACATCGTGCCTACTGCCGTGCGGCTGTCCGGCATGAGCGTCGAGGAACAAGCCATACTCACCTCAGAAACCCGAAGCGGCTTTTGCCGCGAGTCCTTCCCACGTAATCGGGACATCAAACCGGCGGATGGGAACTTAGCGGTCCATCTTCCAGTACTGCCAGTTTGGGCTAAATATCACATATGTAGTGATGCACTGAGACAAGTGACCGAGGTTGAAGCATGCGAGCATAAGGCGCGCATAGCTGAGAGGGCGGTACATGATCTTATACAAGACACGTGGTCGGCTAAAGTAACTATGCTCAATCATGTCCATCATTCATGATATACAGTATGAAGAGTGTACACTATAGAATCGCTCAATCTCTACAGAGGACTGCCCACAATGCGCTTCTGATACTACAAAAGCGTGGCTAGAGGACTGGCACAGGTTTCTGTGCCCGTGGTGACAAGGTCAAAGTGGTCAAGGGGAGAACAACGCGGTCTCGGGCCAAAGGAATAAGACCGACCCGAGGCAAAAGGGCAGCACGAGGATGTGTCCGCGCCCCGAAGAGAACAAAGCGCGATGTCCGAGCGCATATAAAGCGTGTGGGCTCAAACCACAAAGCCTCGCGAGCGGTGCGGACTCGTTCTCGATGATAAAAGGCGGCCCCCTGCTGGGTCTACTCTTGTTCCGCAACCATCCCCATCTTCACCCCAGGAGACTGTGTCTTCAACATCGCAACGCACGACCAAGCCTCTTCCCCCATCGCATCCGCACTCCGCGCCAGCTCGTGACCTGACTTCTATAATCCCATACCAACCCACCGCCGTCCACCAGGATCGTCATGAGCTGCCCTTTCCACCTTACGCGCCCCAGTTCCGGCTTTGCTCTATGGTCTGCACAGCGGAGGGTGGTAGGAACAGTAGAAAGTGCAGCGACCAGCACCTCCATCATCGCTCCTGCGCCACCGACTGCAGCGGCGTTCTGTAGGCGGCTCACCACCCCCGCTATCACGACCACAGTCGCCTTTGATAGCGCCGCTATACCAACCACCACCACCGCTTTCGAAAAGGTATGCTTCATCCAACCATCTTTGTCCAGCGCCCTTCCAATCAGAGTATAGAACGGAGCATATGCAGTGGATACCCACGACGATGACACGGAGACAATGGAAGTGCCACAGCTCGACGCATCCTGGTCATCATGGGCCAGCACTAGCGAGCCGACATTCTCGCCCGCTCATCATACGGCAACACTCGCGGACATCACATACGAGACAATGCAGCGGCAACTTGAGCGCACCCTGGCGATTGAACTCTGCGACGGCGACAAGACCTATAAACGCGCGCCGTCAACGATAGATCAGCCAGGGCCGCCATTGGACATGGGGCGCTGGCAGAGTTCGCACGGGAACGGCGGCGCATACAGGCAAGTGCGCGTGCAGGAGTCGATGCCGGAGTATATGCGCTCGCCATCTGCGAGCGAGCTCCCACCACCCAACTGGAGCCTCGAACCCATCCTCGCCAAGCAGGATGGCAAATGCGAAATCGGGTTGGACTTCGTCCCGGAGCTGATGTTCGCACCGTCCCCCAGCAGCTTTCCATCACCGAACTGGGGTGATGAGCTGGACTGGTTCGCGGACTTTCCAGTCCCATCCCTGAGCTCAATCTCCTCGGGCTCCTCCACATCGAGCGTGACTCCATATAATGGACCCGTCGCGAGTCCGCGCCCCGTGAAGTCGCCGAAACTTCACATCGCGGAGGTCGCGCATCTGGAGGCGGAGGCGGCGGCGGTGGTCGCGGAGCAGGAGGCACACAGGCAGAAAGTGTTGGCCGCACAGCAATGGGCCGAAGAACGCTATGAACGCGAGCGCGCGCAGGAGGAGCTCCGGCGCAAGCGAGCGAGTCGTATGATGCAAGCGCTGGCTGCCGCGGGCGGGAAGGCGTCCATCGGAAGTAACGAGTCGAAGGCCGCGTGGGCTGAGCGCCAGGAGCAGAGCGTGTGGTGCTTTGGATCTGTGCGTCGTCGCAGGGCGTAGGATGGGGATGTGGCGGAGATTCGATTGCTTGCGGACCCGTGTACTGATACCCAAGGACCTTTGTACTCTTGCGGGTGTTTGTGCCTTTGTGTAGTATCGCGTATCAGTTTGATGATCGATATCGGATGTTCCATCTCATTCTTCAGATAATGAAGGGCGCGTCGATGCCTCGTGAAACGATCATCCCTTTGCGGCAGTCCGCCGACGCATGCGGCCCGCGCGCGCGTTAAAAGACAAAGGAGCTTGCTTCGTGCACTACGTCCTCCGAACGGGTTCAGGTCTGATTTGAAGGCTCGGCGCAAGTCAACAAGTAGACCTACAAGGCCTGCATGTGGGTATCAGTACGATCCATCAAGCTTGAAGCACGAGAACTTGAAAAGGCACGATACACTTCAAAGTAAGAAGCCTGAAGGGATGATGTACCACAGGAGCTTCGACATTCTATTGAGCTGTTGGAATAGGCCTGGAGCGCGAGACTTCACCCAGGGTTGATGCAATATTGAGGACAGATGTACAGTAGCACAGGCACAGCAACGACGTAGCGAAAGCGAGAAACATACAACGAAATACCCCAACGTCTCAGTCCATATCGTCATCCGAGTCGACGACCTCTGCACTCTTACTGTGAAACAAGGATGCATCAGCACGCATATTCCGGAAGGAAGAGTAATGACATACAATTGCTTTTTGAACCCTCTCGGGATGGCTTGAGTTGCAGGCTTCTCCTCATCGTCCGAGCCTGCAACGACGGCGCGTTTCTTTGGTTTCTACACAACCGCTCAATCACACGATAAACTGCAAAGCTCACGATGGGACATACCTTTTTAGCAGGCCCCTCCTCCCCACCAGAAAACGCAGCCTCGTCTTCTCCATCCTCTTCCTCCTTGACACCATCCTTCCCATTGCCCTTCTTCAATTTCCTCGCCCGCTTCTTCTTTGGCTCCCTCGGCGTTGTCGCGCCATCCTCTTCTCCGTCACTGAGGAACGCCTTGTCCTCCTTCGTAGACCTCTGCTTTCTCCGTTCGGCCTTCTCCGCCTTGACTCTCGTCTCATCCTCGTCCGCCTCTCTCCACCTGTCATTCATCTCCTGTGCCGCCTGTCGTGCCTCCGCACGCAGCTTACGTAACTCCTCAGCCTGGCGTGCGATCTCCGCAGCGCGCTTTCGTTCATCCTCCTCGATACGAGCCTTCTCTTCTTCGCGCCGTGCGCGGGCCTCGTCCATACGCGCTTGAACCTTGCCCTCGTGCTCCCTCTGCGCACGCAGATGCTCGTCCGCACGCCGAAGCATAGACTCGCCGTACTTCCGCCTCTGATCCGCGACATCCTTTGAATATGGCACCTGGCCCTCGTCCTCCGCGAGCGTTCCAAACAACACCTGCGCCTTGCCAGCCTTCTCAATCGCGTCCTCCAACTCCTGCAATGTCCTTTTCGCGGGAGGTAGGCTGAATAACATCTCCGCAGCCTTCTGCTGCACCATGGCGATGTTGTAAAGGATCACCTTGTCGCCCGGTGTGAGAGCGAGCGCTTGTTCGCCGTACGATAGGGCGGTGTTCATTGATGCGAAGGATTGGTCTTTTGTCGCTTTGGAGTACCAGGAGCGGCAGAGGCACATCAATACACCAACGTTCTTGCCGTCGTAATACCGCTTGCTCGCGGTCTCGTACTGTTCATGGCGTTAGTAGCGGACTTGAAACGGGGTGAAGAGCAACTCACGCTCTCGACGGCTCGGTCCATCTGGTCCCTCCCATAATAACAATGGCCCATGTTGACATACACGCTTCCATCCGGCAGCGCCTCCCTAACCTTCGCGAACACGTCCAACGCTTCCCTAATCCCTGCATCTCTCCTCGTCGCATCATCCGGCTGCGGTCCGGGCGGCAGCACGCCCCCAAGTGTCCCAAGCGCATCTTCGGCGCTTACGATGGCGAGCCCCTGCGCTGCAACAGCGCACAACGGATCAAGTGCGAGCGCTTTCGCGTAAAACTCCGCTGCGCGTCTGAACCCTGCCTTCCTCTCCTCCGCACCGCGCGAACTCGTATCCTTGCTCTCTCGCGCCTGCTGGTAGAACAGCCACCCTGCTGCGCACAAAGCATACAGATCATGTTTGTCGTGATCCTTGAGCGTCGCATGAACGAATGTGTGCGCCGGTTTCATCATCGCCGCGTTGTTCCCACCAGCACCGAGAAGGAAATGCGTATACTGCGCGCGCAAGTTGAGGTCCCCACCACGTGCCGCGAGCGCCTCTTTGAGCAACTCGTGTGCACGGTCGCGCTGACCTGCCTCGAGTGCGATAGACGCTTCGCGTACTTTCGCGTCCGTGTACTCGGGATGGCGGGCGAGAATCTTGGCGTAGGCATCACTCGCCTGGTTCGTCTGGCCAAGATCTTCGTATGCTCGCGCGAGGTTGTACAGGATTGTGGTCGCGGTGGCGTCGGATGTTGGGCTCGTGGGATCCGCTACGGATGATGCGGCTGTAAGCGCCTCCTCGTACATAGCGCGCGCCTCGTCCGGTCGCCTTTCCAGGTGCGTGAGAACGGCGAGCGCGTTGAGTAGCCTTGGTTCGCGTCCACGCAGGGTGAGCGCAGCCCGCAACATTCGTCCGGTCTTATCGATATTCTCGCTCCTCCACAACCTTGCGATCTCGATATACATCTCGCCATCCTCGGCCACAGCGCGTGATATGGGCGCAGCACCGCGCTGTGATGCGGGACGCGCTTCGTGTGTGTCCAATGCGGAGGTGACACGCTCGAACATATCGCGAGCTTTTGAGCGTTCGGCTGCAAGTTCGGAGCCAGATATGCCGGGCCGGGCGAACGAGCGAAGGGAGGCGAGCATTGCGGTTGATTCAAGAGACCTCGGGGCGTTGGGAGGTGAAAGGAGGGAGTCCAGGGTGCGAATAGCTGCACTGTATTCGTCTAGACGGTTGACAGCACGAGTTAGACCGCGGTGAAAGCATGATTCCAACTCTCGTACCGTTGTGGAGACGCATCTGCGCAAGACCGATGTTGGCGAGCACATTCTTAGGCTGGCCTTCTGCGGCTTTGGTATAGTGTGTCGTTGCAGCGTCATATGAGCCGTCCGCGTGAGAAACGCGTCCAGCACGGACATGACCGTCAGTCAATAGACTGAGAGTATCGGCGAACTGCACGGTTCGTTCTGCGAGCTTCAGTGCCTACATGCATCTCAGCGTCAGATGACGAGTGCGAAGGACGGAGACTAGGGAGGAACATACATTCTTGTATTGCCTTTTTCGCAAGAAGATGTCGCTGAGCGCGTTGGCAGCCGCAGCGTTGAACTTATTGTGCTTGAACGCCGTCTCGATCATCTTCGAGCCGCGAACAATAGCATTGCTACGTTCGACTTCGGGAAGTGTCGTGTCTTTGCTTTGGTTAAGCGCGTCGAGGCCCAATAACAGGGAAGCGGCCCATTCATCCGGGTTCTAGACGCGGGCGCCAAAGATGAGCGTCTAAGCCGAGGAAGATGCCATGAGGGAAAGGGACATACCACCTCAAGCGAGCGCTGCCAGGCCGCCTTAGCACGATCGTGTTGGTTCATTGACCAAAAGCAGAGGCCTATCCCGATGCGCGGATCCGGTCGACATTGAGGGTTGAGTGACAGTACGGTCTGGAAGACCTTCAACGCTGCCGGGAATTGCCGTTTCGTGTACAGTATCCTAGCCTAGTGGTGGGTTCAGGTCACGTTTATCCGTGTGGGAGAGATGATACGAACCTTGCCGAGGAGGGCAATGACGTTAGTGGGCTTGTGCTTGAGGATCGACTCAAAGGAACGTAGCGCGTCGTCCAATGACCTCCCCGCAAGTTGGTGGATGGCTGTACGGCATGAGCACAGGTAGTAGATTAGGATATAGTGCGCACCTCGAGTAAGTACCAGCAATTCCTTTGTTGACTGCTCCGCGCCACCTTCCTCTGACAGCACCTTCTCGCACTCATTGATGAACTTAGTCGCTTCCAGCATCATGTCGTCCCGCGTAGGTTCACGCGTCAAGACGTCCATCCCTTCACAGTATTAGTATACATGTATACATAGAGAAGTGTGCCAGGAGTAAGCATACGAGCATTGGCGAGTTTCATCTTGGGTGCCTTTCTCGCGCGCGCAAGCTTGATGTTTGCGAGCAGAGCGTACACCGCAGGTAGCGCGGCTGAAGCCTGGTTCTGTGAGAACGCTATGTCCCTTCAATACAAATCTAATTCGCAGTATACATCTGCACGTACTATCAACAGCACTCGTGCATATCCTCTCTGCCGCGTCTACGTTCCCATTCTGCAAGTACTCCCCTGCCAGTCTTGTCCAATACGCGACCTTAGCCTGACCCTCCTTGAGCACTTCGATAATGTCGTCCGCATTGGGGTCTAACTCGTCCAGCTCGACCGTTACGACTTCTTGCCCACCAAGTTCCAAATCAATGGACCGGCCGGGAGAGAGATTCCATGGGGCGGCCATGGTAGAGTGGTGGAACAAGGATGGAAAGTGGCGGCAGGTCGAGACGCGGTGTCGGAATAACGGATCAATGCCCCTACATAACGGATCAAAAACACCGCCGAGACGCCGCAGACCTACCTTTGTGAATCACCGCGACCCGCGACGGGGAGTTAGCGAGAAGGAAGCCGGCGGGGAAGACGTGAACTCAAGATGGGTTAGACAGGCTCAGAGTGGCGAGGATGGCGAGTAGAGCGCGCTGATGGCTTGTCGTTGAGGCATGGACTCCGGCGTTCGCATGGATTTGACTAGACCTTTCGAACTCGTAGGTTCGTGCTCACGAGCTTCGTTTGTAGATCAACGTAGACGCTACCCTGTTATAGCTCTGATCTACGATCCGTCTTTCCTTCTCCCCTTTGCCCTTTGGATAGGAATCTCGAGCGACATTCGCGTACATATTATACACCAGCAACATGACACCTCTGTATTTGAGGCTCGACAACCAAAGCGCGCGCACATCGCGAACCGATAGAACCGCGAACGCTCGCACCGGGCGATGCAAAGACTTTCAGACCTGTCTCTTGAGGCGCACATAGTGGGCAGAGGCATCGATGCCGACGCATCGCCGAGGTCCCATCAACTTCGCCTCCAGTTCAGGATTCTGTACCGAAGGACAGTATTGCAGTGTAACCTTCCATCCATTGCCATTTGCCAACATCCATATATGAATTATCTTTCTATCAACCTTCGAGTGAACAACCACAGCATACGAGTCTCGGACCAGTAGGTACCACGTGAGTCTACAGCTCATTGACCGAAACACGGATTCCCTCCACCATACTCTTCTTGATCGCCTCAACATGCTTCCTCAGAAGAAGAGCATCTTCGAGCGTTGGATACTGACCGTCCTCGCCACGCGCATACTCCGCCCACGCTCTACCCGTGTTGCCGCCCAACTGCTCGTTCTCCTCTTGCAGCTCAATCTTCTCGCCATTCACGAATAACGCCGAAGGCAACCAGATTTGCGGAAAGCTGCCACCCGGCTGTTCCGCCCCCACCTCCACACGCAGTTGACCCTTCGAGCCTTCGATCAACCACAGCAGCGTCGGCGCAGTGTTCGTAGTGGCCATAGGGAGCGTGCGCCAGCTACCGCTGAAGAGCGCGCCGGATTCGAAGACGCCGCTCACAGAGTACTGGTCGGGTACTTTCGCTTGCACGTCCTTCGCGTTGGGATCCTCTGGGGATTCGCCGACCTTGATGATGGGCACGCCAATGCTCCCAACTGCAGAGAGTGACGACAGTGGCCCTAGGGCGCGCGTGATCAAGGACAGATTGTGGCCGAGCCAGACGTTCGTGAAGTTGGCGCCCTGATTAGGGTCGGCGAGGAATGCAGCGTACGACTGGATGAAGGGCGTCCAAAGAGGCGGGGGGGATGTCTTCGTAGCGATCTGTATCTACATGTTAGCCTCCCGCGTTCTATACATGACCTCATGAGATAGCGTACCCAAGTGACATTAATGATGTTCCCAATCGTGCCGCTCGCAATGATCTCGCGGATCCTCTTCACAGCGGGCGTCTGCCATCCCTGCAGCCCCACCAGCGTCCGCACGCCCTTCTCCTGAGCCTTGGCTACGAACTCCTTCGTCTCCTCAATGGTATCGCCAGCAGGCCACTCGATGTAGACGTTACGGCCCTTCTCGAGTAGCGGGAGAAGGGTCTCGCGATGGGAAGGTGGTTTGACCGAGACGGCGACGAGATCCAGCGTCTCATCCTGGGCGATGGCCTCCGTAGACCCATGATACGCGCGCACGGTAGTACCCGCAAGCTTGCCAAAGTGCTCCGCACTTGCGGTGGCGGAGGATTCCGACGACGTGCTGAGCGCCGACAGCGTGTACTGAGACTTGAGCGGCTCGGAGAAGAGAGGAGGTGCGAGTCCATTGCCAGCCCAGCCACCAGATTTGGACAGACCGACGACGCCGATACGGATAGTAGACATTGCGAATCGAAGACTTCAGGAGCTCGAGTGGAGATGGTTGGCTCTTCATCGTACAAGGGCGCGGCTATTTAAGCACATTGAAGCAGGTTGCTCATGAATATTTCGTACGGCGAACGCGCGTTCAGACCTGGTTTCGTCGCCTGAAGCTGAGTGAGCATCGGAGGGGTGGTGGATGTTCAAGACGCCCAAGACGGGTAATGCAGCGCAGCGCCAGCTTGTCCGTGCTCGTCGGTGGTGGGTGGAAGTGAAGTCGTAGGCGCTCAATAGGTCGTGAGTGTTGTGTCAAGTCCGATTGATGTCGGAAATGCACGCAGGCATTTGCGTATGAGGTTCACGACAATTCTCCCGTCTTGTAGATCCAGACAGTTGATGGGTAGAGTAGGCTGTATAGCCTTCACCTCACCAGGCTTGCCAAGGTTTGTTGCTACCGGTGATGGTGGAGGATTGGGGTGAATGTCGCTCAGGAAGATCACGCTTGCACTTGAAGTATGCGTATTACGGAAGGTTTGCTCTGGAATAGGCAGGTAGTCAATACCCAGTGCATCAGACATGAGCGATAGCGTCCTGACGATACGTCTCAAGGTCATGTAACCCACATGCAAGAGAAACATAGACCGGCGCTACGCGCTGTTTGATCCTGTTGCCGCACTTCTCCTCATGGCGCCGGCTTTATTTACCCCAATCACTACATGTACATAATAAACGTGAATCAGCGCTCTTCGCGCTCGAGTGCGCATACCTCTTTTGACGATTCCACCCGCAATACTGTGACTCCCACACCTTTGGCATGCTGTAGCTTCAGCGTAGCCTTGTAACCCGTCGGCCGTCTAAGCGTGAGGAGGCGAGCACCCTGCAATAGCCCCTCTCAAACTCTTGCAGCAACTGTCTGGTAACGAGACTACATAGCTTCAGCGCACCACTCTCCGGCAGCTTAACAGGATGCGCCCCATATAGATCAGCACTCGTGCATAATATTCCCGTTCTACAAACACGCGACCTTAGCCTGACCCTCCTTAAGCACTTCTATGATGTCGTCCGCATTGAGGTCTAACTCATCGACCTCGACCGTAACGACTTCTTGCCCACCAACGGTGACCAAGTTCAACGTTCAACCATGCCATGGATGATCAGGTGAACGTGGCGGCGCGTCATTACGCGGTACCGGAACAACGGAACAATAGATGAACGGATCAAATACACGCCTGTACGCGCCAGACGTCCCAGACTTACTTATGGATCCCGAACCACCACCTATTGTAATAGGCGCTTACACTTCTGTAGGCATGAGGGACCCGGCACACCTGCCTCCGAACGCACCAAACGCCCATGATGACATCCTCGATGGTGGGGTCATCGACTAGTAATTGTCGGCTGGCGGTGCAGTTATCCTGTACATACATCGCATCCCTGGCTAATGACAGTCATTGCCGTCTGCTGTTCAATCTATGGACGCTATACGAGCTTTACACCATCTACGCCGAGCCCACAACGTCAAGCTTATTGACCAATAAATCCTTCTCCAAAATCTTATCCTTCCACTCCTTCTCAACTTGCCCCAAATCCCAGTTCACACTCAGGTACCGACCATTAAGCCAGTTCGCCTTTCCAGTGCAAAGCCACAACATCGTTGAAGCGGCCATCTCCGGCGGATCGATGAAGTGAAACCCTAACTCCCCCAGCCCGCTCTTCTGGGACAGATCAGTGGCTACGCCTCCTGGGTGCAGGGAGAAAGCTTTGACGGGAGCGTTCTCGATCGCGACGAGCTCAATGAATCTGTTGAGCGCGTGCTTGGATACCTGTTTCCACGCGACTTTGTCAGTTCTCTTCAGATACGGACCGAGCATGCGCGTGTACGCGTACCAGGTAATCGCTCGCATTCTGCGAGCGGAACTGCGCGGCTACGGAGCTTATGCCGACTATGTACCCCTCGGTCTTCTTCAAGTGCTTCACCGTTGGCTTGATGGTGTTGTACACGCCAAGGACATTTATCTCGAACGTCCGCCACCAGTCCGCTGACGGCCGCTCCGCCATCGCTGTCATCTATTTAGCTCAGTTCGGTCGCGCCGCCAGAGAGAGAGCACGAACGCGTATCGAAAGTGTTGGTATACCCCGCATTCGCGATGACCACATCCAATCTCCCGAATTTCTTGACCGTCTTCTCGACAGCACCCTCAACCTCCTCCGCCTTCGTCACATCCACGACAAACTTCTCCACCTTCGCCTCAGGCACCTCATTCAGTACCAGCGCCTTCGTCTCGTCCAGCGCTGAGGAAGAACGAGCGGAGATTGCGAGGGATGCGCCGGCTCTGGCGAAGGTTATAGCCGTGGTACGGCCGATGCCGCGTGAGGCGCCGGTTATGAAAACCACTTTGTTTTTGAGGGCTTGTGCTGTGAAGGCGGAGGTTGGGTCGATGAATGGGTATACACTGCATATTTGGATGTGAGCTTTGGGAGTAGGTGCGAGAGGGAGAGAGATAACGCACTCGTGGTGCAATTTCACTGGGAGCGTCTCGCCGAGCCCGCGCGTGCTGGACGTTTGCTGATCGGCCATGGTGAAGTAACTGGGTGTCTCTGTCGTGTATGCTGTCGGGGTCTTATAGCAACGCACCCCTCTAGACTTCCGCCCACCATTGAAGGCATTTTCTCCCCGATTACCTACATCCGCGTGCTGTACATTGCGACATTCGGGATCATCCGCAGTCATACTTCACTTCTTACTCTCAGACCCGAGGCCTAAACGATAAACCATCCTCACCAGTCATCGCACGGATCATCGGTGTGGATGCGATGCTACTGAAGGGTATCGATTTCAAGACCGAGAGTCGGATTACAGTATAATCCACTCGACATGGGTCAGCGGTATGAAGAGAAGCTCGTCAGCATGTATGAACGAACCATAGGTGGTAGTGCAGTACCGAATGGGTACGTGGGGCTTGACGTCCTAGAAAGCTAGCAAGACCGTCCTATGCCCAGCAAGGTTTGGGCTTCAGTGACTGGTAGGTAGTTCCCCGCAACCCTATGTTCTATTCCCTCAGCAGTTTACGCGCGAGTCGATACGTGACGCATCTCCACTGATACGAGGACCTAGTCAGCACTATCGATTGCTGCGGTGGATAAAAGATGTACGCCACAAGTCCGAAGCCACTAAGCCCCTTCGTTGGATCTGCACTCTGCGGATCATCCTGCAGATCGCACGCCGTCAGAGCTGAGTCGACTAATATGTGTCTAGCGGTGGCACTTCAGACCCGATGTCTAAGCGGAGAAGGTGCACTCACAAGGCATATTCGAGAAGCTGGTCCTTTGACGACCTGAATATTACGCGCGAGGCTGGGAGAGGTTGAGATGAGCGGCGACCGACCATTACGAATGCCGGCAAATGTAAGATGGGGGATACAGAGATGATAGTCTCTGATCTGGCGTTGCGAGCTCGGATGGTACTAGCGTTTCAACAGCTGCATGCTTCTGAAGTGAATTGAAGCAATTGGCCGACCGATCCGCCTGGTATGGATCATAGAACCTAAGTGATAAGGAATAGAATTGCAGACATAGAAGGCATAGTTAAGATGGATATGAGAAGGGCACCGAGGTCGAGGGTATACGGTTTGGGTACATGAAGGCGGCCACGCGGACGGAGGTGATCGTGACCCGACATCAGCCCTCGACGTTCTTGTCCCGATTTACGGCCACCGCCGCTCATTGCAGCATCGTAAGGAGGAGATTGTCCTTCCGGGCCGAGAGTACGCAAGCGTGTAAAGACGTGGCATCGATACATGTTGAAACATCCTGTTATTCGGTGCGGTTGATCTAAACCCGCAAAGCCGTGCGACCACGTCGACGAAAATGAGAGTCTGATAGGATTTTTTTTGTTCCAGAGGCTCGCACAGATGAACGCTTCTTCTAAGCTTCTGGAGCATAAGAGGGTACACATCCTAGAGCAGTCCTAGAGGGAGATCATGATGATGGTTGGCGAGCGAGGCCGAGGCGCGTCGCGGGAGCGCGCGAACCCGTCCGCCGAACTTGGGTCGTATGTACGTCATCCACATCACGCGTTCACGCTCGCGGTTGTATGTACTATTCGGCCCTATCTTCCTCGCTCTCACGTGGACGTGTGCTTCTACACAGCCATTCATTTTCAGTAACTATCGATAACAAGAAGTACAGGGTGCATGATGAGCGGGTATAGTGATCAAGTATCAGGCAAAACAGAGCCTTCGGAACGGTTCAATGACTCTATAAACGATGTGATATGCTGGTTCCAATGGCGAGAGGATCCGTGGGCAAGTTCACGGTGTATGTCTTGCCGTTGTAGCAGATCTTGACGAAGGGCAGCATCTGAGATGGGTCGGACACTGCAGTGTGGGATAGCTTCAGCAGACATACGCAGTGAAGATGACAAGAAGGCAGCACCTGTAAGAGTCCCCCGACGAGTATCAACGAGGAGCGCCACGTTCCCATCCACCTCCAACTTATGCTGCCTATGTCCAAATCGGACCTCTCCGCCCTCCTCATTCCAGAACACTGCTGCCAACACACCGTGCTCGTCGTCCCATACCGCCGACACCTCTCCATCGTTCTTGACCGTCTCAGTTCTTCTTCTCCTACTCTTGTGCCTGAAGGTCTTAAGGTCTGTCCCAGGGTATATGGTGTACTGCAACGGCTGCGAGATATCGGTGTGGTTGAGGTACGCGGCAAACAGGTCAACGGTATCTTGAACCTGCGATATCCCGATCTCGGTCCAGTTCGCCTGGTGTTCGCCGACGGAGACCGTGAGAGCGGCGGGCATACAGTCCTCGAAGACGTATCCGTTCCCACCATGCCACAAACTCATAGCGCCTGAAAAGTTCTGCACGCCCTCAGCCTCGGCAGTGAACTCGACGACCTCTCCGTCGAGATATACGCCTCCCGTATGTCGGCGCTGGTCCAGAACAGAAACGACACTTGCATTCGGCGATGTCGAGCTGATGTTGTTCACCATCACGACTTGCGTATCGTCTGGCAGGAAGAAGATCGCCTTGTTCCAGCTTAGGTCGAGGGTGAGGGGGTTCGTATACTTCATGGCCGCAGCGCCGATCTTCCCTGTTGATACGCCGCCAACGAAGGATTGGAGGCCGGTAAAGGAAGCATTGTCACTGTGCGCTCATCAGAACGAGTGGCGTGACCCACGAAGAGTGCGTGCGCTTACCAGTCGAGCGGAGTATTCCCATAGTCAGTCGTGGTACCCGGTATCAAGTTCCAGTCCCTATTTCACCCGTCAGCTCAGAGCCACCTCTCGACAGTGAAGTCCCTCACCAGCCACCCGCAATATCTTCATACTCATTACCCTTCACGTAGGTGTACAGCGTGAAGTCCGCCAGATGGAAACCGTACGGGTTCTCCGCATTGACGCACTCGGTGTTGAACGTGCGGTCCGAGTACATCTTGAGTGTGGTGACGTAGTTCCTCCCACGTTGCACGACGTAGTCATTGTCGCGGAAGACGCGGTTGCCGATGAGATGGCCGGCGTTGGCTGTGGTGACGTTCTTCTCGAGGCTAGAGTACACGCCCTCGAGTGTCGACGAGTTCCATAGTTCGCCTAGAGCCTATGGTCTCGTCAGATACGCCTCTGCGTGCCCAGAGAGCAGAAGCTCACCAGTAAGTCCGTCAGATTAATTTTCAAACTGGCGGTCGCTTGATCGTCGAAGACGGGGAAGGATATCATGCGGCCAACAACAGACTGCAGGTGATGATCAGCTATGTATAACGGAGAGTCCTGCGGCGAGCACGCACCAGATCCCAATGTAAGACGCCCGTCAAGGTGTTATACACCACCATCCACTGATTTCCGTCCCAGAACGTCTCGAATGCGTCGATACCTGTCTCGTTCGCCGCAAACTCGGTGCCACCCGCTTCGATTTCGAGTGCCATAACGTTGTTCGCGAAGTCCTTCCCGTAGTTGCCGCTGTAACATGGTCAGCTTGAGTTATGAGTGCATGAGGAGAAGATGGTGGACATACGTATATAGTAATCCGCCGTGCTGGCCGAAGCTTCCATCTGGCTTGATGCCATCCGTTTTGATCTCCGGTACAAGCACAAGCTGGAGATTGTCAGCCAGAGAAAGAGAGCATTGGATCGCAGGGCTGACCTGCTTGTCGACCTGCTGATACGTCTCCTCCATGACCGTCACATTCTTCGACATGAGCGCATAGTCGACGCCAATCTGGACAACACACGATCAGCTCTGCATACCCACGGTCCTAGCATCAAAACGCACCGCTGCTAGCAACAGCCCATTCGCTCCATTAGAGTAGGCAGGGTTGATGCTGGCGTTGAAGTACACCTCGAAGCTTCGCCCGAGGATGTTGTTGCAGCTGTCGGCTTGTGCGTCATCCAGAGTCGAGTTCGCGAGCACGCAGGCTTGACCGATGAATGTGGGTACGCCGATGACGTTCGAGTACCAGTTCGAGTTCCAGCTATACATTGCATCAGTTGTGATGTGGACGATTTCAGCGGAGGGGATCGTACAGGCCAGGTGTGCCGCAAGGACAGTTGCCGTACGTGGCATTACCTCCGAAGGCAAGACAGTCCTGTAGCAAAAAACGTTGGCATAGTCATAGATACTGGGGCTCGGAAGCGCACCGTAGCGTTGAAGTCGTTGTCGAACCAGTAGTCCATCGCGGACAAGAACCCGCTCTCAAGATCCTCGTCGCCGACCCACTGATCCCCACCAGGTAGCCCGCCTTTCCAAGCCGCCGCGAGTGTGACTGTACCCATCGCAGTGTTAGCGCACACGTCTTGCAATATGTGAGGTAGTACATACCGATACGCTCCCAATGGACCTCCGCAGGCCAGTTCGCCCTCTGCGCCGGACAGCCCGTAGTGTAGTCGACATCGGGCCATGTGCCTTCAGGTGAGAGGGTATCGAGCCAGGTGCCGACGCTTGAGGCGTCTCCGGCTGAGCGGATGGCGAATGTGAGTCGACGTTGGAGGATGGTGTCGAAATCCGACGCTGTGGTCGCGTTCAAGGACGCGCTGGGGTCGGAGGCGGAAGCGCTTGCTGTCGGAGTCGGAGAGATCGATGGTGGTGAGAATGAGGAGAGCGAGCTGGTATGATTATGTCGGTAGTGATCTTGTCTGCTGTCCGCATCCGCAAAAGTGGATGGTAAAAGTGTCAAGACGGGGAGGGCGAGCACCGCCGAGGTTGAGGCCGCGCCAAACACGCCTCGAACCATGGTCACGAAATTTCGGATACAAGGTCCCGCAAAGTTCAACCATACTTCAACAGGTTAGACAGGTCTTATGAGCAACGAGCTCAATACAGTCCACTTGGCTGCGTTCCTGTCCTTCGTCACGAGCCCATTTCCAACATAATCCCCGAACGCGCGGGACGCCGCACACATGCCCATATCCGCGCGCCTCCTTGTCCATCCCATCCCATTCGGCCAAGCACCTGCCTCAAACGATAGAGAAGAAACGCCGCGGAAGCAGGAATGAATGTGGAAGGTGAATCAGAGTCGAGCCTGTCATACAATGGCTGATGATCGTGCGGCGCGATGTAGCAACGAAGACAGGTCCATGGTATGTTCTAGCGCTCATGCTCGAGGTCTGCTGCTTGCATGCTACCCGCGTTTATCGATGTCATCCGCGGACGTTCTGACGCGCCGCAAGCCGTATAAAAAGCGCAAGGCGTGAGGACAGCAGTCACGAGGGGAGCGACGTCAGTCCGCGGTCCGCCGTTGAGCTCTGAACTCATGTTCTATGATGAGGAGTGTTCCAGTCAAAGCGATGACATCGACCCCGATATACGCAGAGCTGAGAGCAGGAGTTGTGATAAAAACGGGCACCTGCTCCTTTGCCAGTGATGGTGGCGGTTCGTGTTCAAGCGCTTTGTTCGGGCGCTTGCCGAGGTGATTGACGCCACTCGGACTTTACGGCCGAGCGCGTCCGAGCGCCTGTTGTCACCGCGACGGTACCATCTATATGCCGGCCGAATCCCGATATAATTTCATGATGTCTTGCGCCAGCGTACTGCGTGGATCGAACTGAAGATGCTAATGATGTCTAGAATGTGTTTTGTATAGTGCGTGGGTATAACGAATGAGCGTATTATCTAGCAAGTAAACTACAAGCACCCCGGTGAAATCCAGTACAGTCTATATCCAACAACCCTCCTACTGCTGGGCCGGCTTGCGGCTGACGACGAGGTACATGGGCGTAAACAGCTTGGTCTGACCACCGCGGACAAGACTGTCGCCAGCGACCTTGAGCGCCTCACCGACATCGTGTGTGCCCTTGGGCACAATGCCGAACCACTCCATGATGCGGATAGCGTTGTGGGTGACAAGCTTGCCGGACCAAGACATACGCCAGACGGTGAAGTAATCCCACGTCGTCTGCGCCTTGCGGATGTCACCCTCGAGAGGGTAGTACCAAGGTACCGGGTCATCGCGCTCCGCCAGATCCTCCTCGTGCTGGATCTCGAAGCCGACCTTGACGAGCGCGTCGCGTGCGACCTTGCGGTGACGCATCTCAGGGATACCGTTGCCGAGCTCAATCTCGTGCGCGAGCTCCTTGTGCTCGGGGATGGACGGATCCCAGGCGTCGGTCATTACCCATTCGTACACGCCGAACTGGAGAGGAGCGACGATCAGGACCAGAAAAATATGAGGCGGAGGTAAATGTACGTACAACGCCTCCCGGCTTCAGCACCTTCATGATCTCGCCGTACACGCCCTCGAAAGACGGTGCGTGCACGGTTGCCTCGATAGCGTACACTGCACATGATAGTCAGCGGACGCTCAGATCGCAAGAGAAGAAATATGCTTACCAGCGTCGAACGAGTTCTCGCCGAACTGCTCAGCGAGCTTCATGAAGTCGCCCTTGGTGAAGCTGACCTGGCTCTCGAGACCGGCCTTCTTGGTGTACTTCCGTGCGCGCCCGATCTGGAAGTCGTTGTTGTTGAGGCCGACAATGTTGACGTCGGCGAAGCGCGCGATCTCGCGTGCCGGGCCGCCGACACCGCAGCCAACGTCGAGCACGCGCATGCCGGGCCGGAGCGTCATCTGGGCGGCGAGGTAGTGCTCGTGACGGGCAAGCGATGCGGCGAACGCCTCGCCGGGGTAGAAGCGCGAGAAGTGGAAAGATTGCGCCCAGCCATATTCGTACAATTCCGTCGCGCCGTCGTAGTAGCCGTTCACGACGTCCTGGTACGTGTCCAGACGGTTCGCGGTGTCGGCCGCCTCCTCAGACTTGAGATCCTTCTTCCACTTTTTGGTGTAGCCCTCGAGGCGATCAGACTGACGGCCGTCCTGGAGAGTGGTCATTTTGGGCTACAAGCGCGTGAGTATATGCTATGTTGGTTCAACATTGGTATGAAACGCACCGAATAGGGAAGGAGTTGAAAGGAAGGAGAGACTGAAGTCAAGCGGTTGAGCGCTAGAGGTGAGAGCAGAATCGACTGCGAAGCTTTATGTACTTTCGTCTGTCGGACCACTTTGCCAGCGCGGCAAACGCGTGGTCCGGGAACGGAAAGCAAGTCCCACGCTCGGCTAACCAATGAGGCGCCTCGTACGACTGTCGCGCACGGCTCTCCATCCGCGGCCCTCAACAGACGTCGCCTCGTCCCCGCGCCAGAGCATGCAATGCGTACGAAGGTCTCTATACCGACTGCCATTCGAGTGGATCAGACCGATGTAACGCATCATGTGTCCAGTTCAAACGGCCTCAACGTCGACGCAGCTGAAAGCTTTTCGCGTTCGGTACGGTACTTTATCTTTATCCCCGGGGAACCCAACTCTGCGACAAGAGGACAGTTTTCTTCGAGGCTATGGCAGAGAAGGATGTACCACCCGCACGACCGGGACGCGGGTAAGGACAGGAAAGAGGTCACCAAGACCGGACCGCCATGCGTTCCCATCGACTTGGGTAAGTATCGCGCGTAGCGCTCGGCGACTACGCCACAACGCGGTGTTCACTTCCACTCAAACCATCAAGCTAGTGATGCCAACTATGACGAACTTGCGATAAGGCGTCTACATAACTCGCTCGATATAGTAATGGCGGCTGTGCGCGTGAAACAATGGTGTTATCGCTTTGATATTCCTGCAGACCCATCTCATCTTTACCTCTGACCACCATCTTCAACTGCCCTTGCTCATTGGCATAGTTATCATCGATCGAGACCATTTGGCACTGGTCAACATTCCAATACGAACTTATACATGACATCCTCCGACGCTCGATCACCGTCAATGACTGACAACTCGGAAGATCTCACCGATCTCCGCGGGAGCGCGGTTGTCCTTTCTATATCGTGTCCTGAGGACGCGTTCAGTCAGTTATGGGCAGAATCCCTACGCAGATACGTGGAGACCACATCCACCGACTTCATCAAATGGCAGTCGCTTCTTCAGCGCATATCCAGTTGCACTGGCGTGGATGATATCTGCTCGGTACTCGATGAAACCATGGACGCTTTCACCCGCTTTCGCGGGAAGGATTCGCTCTGGGGGAGCTTGCGACAGAAGTACCTGAAGCCGACTGTGGAGGTGCTTCTACTATTCAGCGATGCGATAGCGGAGGTCGCCTCGTCTTTCGTACGCCACTGTCTCCTCTCGTGCAGATCGGGCTCTCTGATCATCACATACGTAGCCCCATGTCCCCGGTGGGAAGGGGATATTTGTAGCGTTCAGTATCCTACTCCAAGTGAGTCCATTCAAGTGGTGTCAGGCAATGTCCTGACGTATCATGCGAGGCAACGAAGGGGGTGAGCGCCTACTGCGAAGCCCTCCTCGGGTTATTCGAAGAATTGAACTACTTCCTGGAGTCCTTGCGGATTCGGATCGGATCCTCGACGGCGTTGGGTCACACATCAACAACTGTCGCGATCGCCATACTCGCGCTTCTCATCGACATCGTCGCCCGTGCTACTATGCTGCTCACCAAACGTCCGTGGCTTGGGCGCATTAGTACGTGGCACGAATCGGCGCCGCTAAAGGGATTGAGCCTGACCCCTTGTCAGCTATGTATGGCAAAGTGCTCACCAGAGACACCACGATCCATGACGCGCTTCAGCGCCTTCGGGCGCTCACGATACTGGAAATGCGGGCCATCAGTATCGAGAACCGTGTCATAACAGCCGAGATTCGGGGTATCGCGTCGGACACTCTGGTTGTTGCAGAGGATAATCAGGTAGTGGCAAGACGGATATTGCAAGAACTTCGGGCCTTGAATCCAGGTAAGTCGACCTGTGCTTCTCTCCTGGTATACCGTATACACTCATCACTGCCTTCTGTCTAGTTCACACGCAACTCGCTGAGACCCGCAATCTGATGGGCCGGGGCGTCGATAAACTGCTAAAGGGACAGAGTACGGTGGTGTTCACTATGTGCGTGCACTCACTGTATGCTGATGCAGTGTCACAGGAGAACTGATGGAGTTGTTGCATGCCGAGGTCTGTATTGTCCGTTGCCTGCTTCATCGACCCTGATCTCATGCTCTACAGAGAAAACAACGCGAGGAAGTCGTCGACGCGTCGAGTAAGATTTCCCGCATCTACCTTCAGCCTTCCACTGACCACCCCCCTTCAGAGATCATGGAGAAGCTTCACCGCGTCGATTCCGCTGACATCGATGCTCAGAGTCCCGAGGGGTGCATGAAGGGGACACGGGTGCAAGTTCTCAAAGATCTACGGAATTGGAGCCGTAATTCAAACGCACCTCGAATATATTGGCTCAATGGAATGGCTGGGACGGGCAAATCGGCCATCGCGCGCTCGTTCTGTCACGCGCTACGGCAAAACAGCCTTCTCGGTGGAAGCTTCTTTTGCTTTCGTGGCGGTTCCATCGAGAGAGGCGATGCACGGCGCATCATCCCCACCTTGGCCGCCTCGATGGCCGCACGACACGCAGCTTTCAATGCAGCTTTACTTTCCGCTCTCGAAAAGGATCCTTTCTCCCTTCACTGGAACTTTGAAGTGCAGATCGAGCGTCTGCTCGTGAATCCCCTCGCTCATATACGCGATAAAGCACCGATGTTGGTCTTTGTCATTGACGCTCTGGACGAATGCTCCGACGGCGATATCATACGCAATCTCCTCTCACGCCTCGTCCTAGCTTCTCCGAATCTCCCTCTCAAATTCTTCCTAACATCTCGTCCTGAACCCCATGTCCGCATTCACCTGGAGTCTCTGGATCCTACCATTGGCCATGTTCTACGGCTCCATGACATCGAGGAGAACGTAGTCCGAGCTGACATCGCACTGTACTTGACACACAACCTACGAGGCATGCGTCAGGCGTTCTTCCCCATCTATTGGCCCGAAAAAGCGGACATCACCAGGCTAGCAGATCAGTCTAGCAAGCTATTCATCTATGCCTTCACAGCCCTACAATATGTTCGCGCCGATCCCATTGCCCGCCTCGCAAAGCTCTCCAACGCGGTGGTGTCTGCCGAGCAACGCATGGCGAAGCCTCTGGATGCGATCTACAGCTTGATCTTGTCCGAGGCCATGGACCCAGAGGAGAACGATGAGGAGGAGATCGAGGCCATTTGTCGCATTCTTGCCATCCTCATCAGTGTTCGTGACCCGTTGACAGTCTCAGCCCTTGGCGAGCTGCTGAATGTGCCGGGGCATCACCTAAGAAGCTCTCTGAACCGCCTTCACGCCGTGATCTATGTTCCTCTCCATGATGACCGCGGTCTTCTCTCAACTTTCCACGCGTCATTCCGCGACTTTTTGACCGCTCCCGACCGGGCACCGGGATATATGCGGTCTCGAATATCTCGAGCCCCCGAGTTGCTTGCACACGCATGCCTTGGAACCCTGCGAGCTGGACTCCATTTCAATGTTTCAGGAGCTACGACATCCTACCTCCGCAACCACGAGCAGGAACTTCCGCGCATTGAGGACCCATTACGCTATGCGTGTTTATACGGACTGGATCACGCAGTAACCGCAGGATACGCCAGCCGGCGGATTTCCCAAGCACTCGCAGATGTGCTGCATGGGCCTCGCCTACTTTTCTGGCTGGAAGCCATGAGCGCCATGGGTCATTCAGAGAAGATCGTTGCCACACTCGAGGATGTGCAAACTTGTGTCCGTCAGCGCAAAGCACAGTCGCGATTCGCGGCGTTTCTTCGTGATGCCATCGCTTTCGCCAAAAACCATCACGTCGTCATCGCACAGAGCGCTCCTCATATCTACATATCAGCCCTCGCCTTGCAATACAACTCTCTTCTCGCAAACATTTGCACATTCTACTTCCCCCGTCTCGTCTCTGCGCGAGCATTCAGCACTAAGAACGTGAAACATTCTTTTCACCCAGCAGTTTCTTCTCCAGATGGGAGCCGTATACTGGCCGGATGCGATACGTCGGTCTATGTCTTTGACGCTTACACTGGCGCGTTGGTAGCGCATCTTCAGAAGGGTCATGCACGTATGGTGCACAGCGTTGCATACGCTCCCGATGGAAAACGAGCATTTTCCGCATCGACTGACAGAACTATCTGTACATGGGATATTGAATCGGAGACATTGCTATCATGTGTCCGCAGTGGGGATACCAATGTCGCCTGTGTGGCCTTCTCGCCCACGGGTAAGCATGTGGCTTTGGGCTTTCTTGACGCCTCCATCGATATAAGGGATCCGTTATATTCCCGAACCCACAAGACCTTGATGGGGCATACAGAACGTATTCAAGCTCTAGCATTCTCGCCAGACGGGTCCCTCATCGCATCCGGATCGTCGGATAAGAGCATACGTGTCTGGGAAGTCTCGTCAGGCGAACCTTGCTGCGCCCCCTTAGTCGGGCATACCGACGATGTTTTCTCTGTTGCCTTCACTCAATTAGGGACCCATGTCGTTTCAGGCTCCGCAGACTGCACAGTGCGCATTTGGAGCATCGGGGACGAGGGCAACGTCAGGATCTTCAGCGGACACAACGGCTTGATCACATCCATCGCCTGTTCTCATGACAATCAGTATATCGCATCAGGTTCAGTGGACACAACAATGCGCATCTGGGAGACGCACTCTGGCGAACAAGCGATGGAAACATTCCAGAGCACTGGCGCCATACTATCGGTGGCCTTCACCTCGAATGGACATCGCGTACTCTCGACTAGCGCAGGCGGGTCGATCCGGATTCACGGCATCCATAAGAGACGTCGTCATGGCAGTGTACCAGGTGAGCCTCGTCGCGCGTAGGTTACGCACAAAACGTGACGATGTTGTCTAGACATTTTCCAGAAGAATCAGTACTATATCGACAAGGATGGTTGGGTCCGTGGTCCGAGAAACGAGGTCCTGTTGTGGTTGAGCAGCGAACGATTGAAATATTTCAATGGGTGGCAGCTCGACGACACATTGGTCGATCTCACTATCGACGTTGACGCCAACGTGAACCGCCCTACCTTGACTATCGATTGGACTGGTGCAGCTGTCGGCGCTGAGTGGACGAACTGTTACGATCCGACCATTGGCACGGATGAGATGCCATCAGAGTTTATCAATCCTCCCAACTTGTAGTCGTCGCTGTATCATTGGGTTCCTGGCCACATCGCCACCGGAGCAAAGTAGATGTTAGCGGTTATCTGTAGGATGCCATTACATCCAACAATCAGTTGCAGTATCATCGAATGTCTCCGAGTGATGCAGTTCATCCTAACTGCGCGCACGTATGAAACTGTCTTTATTCCAGGCCTTCTTACAAGCCAATCACACACCGAAAGCGAACAGTAAATATGGCCCCATTACCAATCAAGTCCTTCAATTCCTCCTTCCGCTCAATATCCACTCCCGTTGACCTATGTGTTAACCTGAACATTAGTCTATTGCCATATGAATCCCGAAGGAAGCAGAGCGCACCTTGTCCTTAAGCATCCCAACGAACTGCTGATAACTCGGCAACACATCCGCCCGATCCTGAATGAGCAAGCTTAGCGCCCACAACCTCAACGGCGGCTCTCCGTCCTCCTTGACGACGTAAAGATGCGCATAATACGGCCCGTGGCGCATCTCGCGCGTCTTGGCGAGAACAGCGTTGACACGACGGCTGAAGTCGTTGTCCAAGAGCGGGAGCGTCGTCTTGCCGCCGCGCAGAGCCTCGTAATTCGGCAGGTCGAAGACGTCCTGGATGAGCTGGGGCACAGCGTCGCGACCGACGAAGAGGAAGAGCGTCTGGCCGTCTTCGATCAGGTAGAGACCGTGGCGCTCGAGACGCTCGGTCGTGAGCGGGAGCGGCGTCGGCATAATAGTCGTGCCATGCTCGCCGATGGTACCAGCCTGAACAAGAACGCGTATCAGTTGTTGATCGTCAAACGTCCACGGGTACGAAGACATACCTCCGGCGACATACTATGCAACGCATAGAACATCGGGTGGATGTACGGAATGAGCATCTCAGCCGGTAAGCTCGTGAGCAAGCACTGCGCATACGCGCGCAGATCGCTCGGGATCTGAGCGCTCTGCCTGATACCAACGTTCTTGAGCAAGCCGAGGATGAGCAGCGGGAGCATCTTCATGTTCTCGCTGACGGCCAGCTGCGCGCTCGCCCCGGCGCCGGCAGCAGTCATGGTGCCCTTGTACGCCTGCAAGAGCTCGACAAGCTTGTTCTGCAGCAGATCGCGTGCGTCTTCCAGCTTGTACATGACGCTGCGCTCCACGGCCTTGTTCGCGAAGTACGTCGCAACGGCAACTTGGTCCACGCTAGCGTATATGTCGCTAAGGTTGCTCGTCGTGGGTAGTGCGGTGGTGACAACACGGACACGGCGCTCTCCGTTGCACGTCGTATGCAGAACACCGGTCTGAATGATGATGTATGGCTGCGAGAGCGTCTCCTCGACTTCGAGCTCGATCGTGTAGCTCACGTCGTTCGGGACCGTCGGCATCGCGAGCAGGTCCGTGCTCCGGAGGAAGAAGTTGCCGTGGAACGAGCTCATGCGGACACCGCGAGAGGCGCGGACACGGATAATAGTCTCCACCAAGATCGGCTGAGCGAGGACGGCACCGAACTCGTGCGCAAACTTGACAGCGTCTTCGGCGCGCGCCGCGTTGAAGGCTGGGTAGAAGAACGTCTGGCCGGAGGTGTAGTGGGGGAGGGCACTGAGAGAGGCGACATCCTGGTAGCCTGGGCTGAAGAGGAACATATCGACGGAGACCTGCGCCTTTGAACACTCGATCGCGAACGTCTTGTAGAAAGGCGACGCGGCCTGTAAGAGCGCGGACTCTTTCGGTGTACCAAACACCTTTGGATCCTCGCGGTTCTTGAGTGCGCCAGCGCCAGAATTCGGCAGGCTAGCGGAGAGAGTGATGAGCTTGCCGCCGGTGTTGCTCTGGAACCGGAGCATTAGTACGATTGACAGAAGATACGTAATACAGGGTACTTACGATGAGCTTGAAACCAGCCTGGAGAGCTGGACCGAGAGCACTGCCGAGGTCGTGATTGTCTTTGAACATGTCGTTGAACTGACCGAGCAGTGACTCCAGCACAGCGCGCGACTCGTTGATGTTCACGGACAGATCATGCGGTTGCGGCAAGAACACGTCGTCAACGTCCGAGACGACCAACATATGTGCCTGCTCGGCCGTGGGAGGCATCGAGAAGAAGTACAGAGCCGAGTCGAAACCGATGATCGCCACACGGGTACGGCTGTCATCGTTGGGTAGGCGGTCAAGGTTTTCGAGGAGAGTGCGCGCGGCGGTTGCGACCATTCCAGACTGCACGGCAGTGTGTGAAACGTCGATGAGGAACACATAGACGAGCGGCTGAGGTGGGCGAACGACGTATTCGGCCGGGGCAACGTACTCCACTACACCGTAGTTGAGTTCCGCGCGCTGCCAGCGGTCGAGCGAAGTGTTGTTCTGTTGATCCCAGTCAAACATCTGAGGCACTTCATTGACGAGGCCACACATCGGGCAGCGGTATCGGCTCCCGTTGTCGATGAACGTCACGAACGGGTTCATGTACATCCTGCAGCGACGACAGCGAGCGATCACCATGTCCGTTACGAGCGGAACTGGCTCCTCGTTTTCTTTGATGGATCGATAGGGTGTGATCGTGACTGATAGTGGCACCTTCGCCTTGCCCGCGAGCGAAGATGAAGATGGGAAGGCGTTCACGGTACAGCGCTGGTAGTCCGGATGCGCGTTCACGTGAGGAGACGGGGAGATGGTCGCGCCAGGCGGGAGAATAATCTCTGGGGGACCAGCCAAGAGCTCGCGAGGGTCAGGCGGCGTAGTGAGCAAGTTGGTAGTTTGCAGATGCGGCTTCTGGATACCCATCTGCCCGAACTGGCCCGCGAGCTGGTCCATTCCAGGTTGTTGGCCGTACGCGGGAGGTTGCTGTCCATATCCGGGTGCATTGATATATTCGGGCTGTTGCGGCTGTTGCGGTTGCTGGCCATAATATCCTCCATCCTGCGGCTGCTGCGGGTACCCCTGCTGTTGAGCCTCGCCAGGCGTGAAGAACTGGCCCTGACCAGCCATCTGCGGCTGGCCGGGCGCGCCAAAGCCGGCCGGGGCGTTGAGGTCGGGCCCGGCGCCGTAGTACGCCTGGGTCTCGCCGGCGGCATACTGTCTGCGCTTCTTGTGATGATGGCCCGCAACCGGCGGCGGCGAGCCTCCAGCAGCCAACGGCGGCGACGCGACCGGCGCGGGCGGTCCACCAGCCGCCGGATGCTCCCACTGGGTGTGTCCGCTCGCGGTTTCTGCGTTACGGGCAAGTCAATTACTTCGTATCAGACATCGAATGCACGTCGATCTTTACGAACCGACAAAGAAGTAGCGCCCGTTATCCGCGCTCCTGTATCCCAATTCAGAATTTATTCATTTATCTTATTTGGGAACGCTGCGTACCACTCTGCGATCCAGCCGGGCGGCAGGTTCTGGTTCGGATCGGCCATGGTCGCGGTTCGAAGGTGAGATGACAGGGCGACGCGCGCGGCGCCAACTTCGACGTCAACCACGTCGTCGCGCGACGTGTTCCCACAGCAGGGGCGCCTTATTTCTCAGTACCGCACCGGCGGCTCTCCTTCCCCGTGCGGTCGATCGCCACAACACAAAGCCGAAATGGCGACAGCCCTTGCTTCCGACCGCCATGAGCTCGAGCGTGCCCGCGTCTCAGCTGCAGTCTGAGCGCACGTCCGTCGAAATAGACTCGGATCGCAAGTCTATCTCGAAGCAGCAGGAGGAACGCCGCGAGAGCAGCGCGCCTTCCCCGACGTTGCAACCTCAAGCGCTAGATTATGCGGATCCGCCACCAGCTCACTCTGATCCCTTCGTGACGCACAAATGGCGCGCGTGGACACAGTTTGCAGCATGCTCGTGGACTCTGTTTATGGCTGGATGGAATGATGGTACCACGGGACCATTGCTTCCGCGCATACAGGAAGTTTACCATGTCAGTCTGGAGTTATCAGATAACCATTGTACTCGAAGAATATCTCAACTCTCCTAGGTAGGCTATGCAGTGGTCTCCCTCATCTTCATCACTGGATGCATCGTGAGTATCCCCAGCCATACCTTCCTAATACTACTTGTTGATGCTCTTACACAGGGCTTCGTCTCCGGTTCGGTAGGCAACATCTGGCTCAATCGCAAGCTAGGCTTTGGAAAGGTAGCTCCTTCTTGCAACCTATCCGTGTATCGTTTTGACCGCTCCCTCAGTCTATACTCCTCGGTTCAGTCTGTCAAATGGTCGCATACGCCATCCAATCTCCAGCACCGCCTTTCCCTGTTTTCGTCCTCTCATACGTGATCAACGGATTCGGTATCTCGCTACAAGACGCACAAGCTAACGGATACATTTCAAACTACCATACTAACACGGCTACCCTCATGGGTATCATGCACGGAGTATATGGTACACCCACTCTTCCCTGTTCCTCCAGTTCATGCGTATGGCTGACTTCATGCAGGACTGGGCGCCCTATGCTCACCGCTAGTAGCAACGCAGTTCGCCCGCCAAAGGCATTGGTCTTTCCACTACCTCTGCTCGTTCGGCGTCGCGCTCATCAACACCATCATTCTTGCCGTAGTCTTTCGCTTTCAGAACCAAGAAGGTGGACTTCCCATATTTGATTCCACCCCCTTTGCACTGCGCTGATGCTGGACGTAGCTTGTTTGAGGGCTGTTGGACAGGAGCCCGAGCAACACGAGAAAGACGCGGCAGCCGAAGGTGGGCAGTATCGCCGCATCTTCTCGCTACGCACACTACACATCATCGCCGTGTTCACGCTCGTGTACGTCGGCGTCGAAGTGACCATAGGCGGTACGCCTACTCCCTTTCACTTTCTCCTCCTTAATGTTGATGTGCATTCTATTCAAATAGGCTGGATCGTGACATACATCATCAAAGAACGTGGTGGTGGCGACACTTCCGGATATATTTCTTCAGGTTTCTTTGGCGGACTCGCACTAGGCCGTGTCGCCCTGTTGCCATTGAACAAGTTCATCGGCGAGCGCCGCGCAGTACTCGTCTACATTGCTCTGGCCATAGCGTATGTGCAAATCCACCCTTGCTTGTGACAACTTGACTCATGCAACATATAGGCTTGAGCTCGTGGTGTGGCTTGTCCCAACGCTCATCGCGGGTGCCGTGTCGGTCTCCTTCGTCGGCCTCCTCCTTGGACCCGTCTATCCGATCATCATGAACGAGTCGGGACGACTACTACCGCGTGCACTACTCACGGGATGCATTGGCTGGATAGCTGGGCTTGGTCAAGCGGGCAGCGCGGTCTTGCCATTCATGACAGGCGCTATCGCAAGCGGGACGAATATTGGCGCGTTGCAGCCGTTGCTTGTCAGTATGATGGGGTTGTTGCTGGTGTTATGGGTCGTCATCCCCTGGGTTCAGCGCGCGGAAGCACGAAAGGGAAAGATTGGGTAGCGACTGTGGGAGACAGTCTCGACACGAATATTTCACGGCTATATAGTACGCTCTACCATGATCTCCTATAGATGCACATCATGATTTCTCGCGTATCGCTGCTCCTGTGTCTTACCCTCGGGAACTGATACGGCTAAGCAGGTATCTTTGTGCTCACTGAGCTGAACAGACCGGCTGTCTGGGCTCGCACGGGTGTGGGCCTGCCAGTGCTACGACCGCGATGCACGTAGCTGCCCTGCCGGAAAGGCATGTGACCGTGAGGTATTAGCCGTTCGGCCGATGCCGTTCGCTTCAGCGCTTCCAGACGTACAAAGCCAGAACCGCGATAGTTTGTGCTTTCATATATTTTTTGACGTGCGTATGACACGATATACCTCACGCGACCTTCAAGTATACCCAAAGGAATTCGATGCACCTAAGTACATGCGGGACAATTGTACCCAAAGTAAAGACGCTGCCTCTCAGTACCCTACACATCCAACCGCTTACGCCGACGGGCACGTGAACGATACATCTTTGCTAGCAATTCCAGCGTTCTTCTTGTCGATAGCAACGTTGGCCGCAAGCTTCGTCGTAAGATCGTCGATCTGAGCCTGCTGTGACGCCGAGGCCTTTCCACCGTTCTGCGCAACCTCGGCTTGCACTACGAGAAGGGTGCCATAGATCTTGAGAACCTTGTTCTTACTACAGACAGGAGATGAGTATCGATCACAGCCCAGGATCGCGTGAAGGCAAACTCACAAGAGGGCGACGGATACACCATTGGTTGCCTTGTTGCTCGAGGCGATCGCGCCAGCGTCAAGATAGGCCTGCTCGGCAAGCACCGAGCAATGAGCATCAGCCTACAGGGCGGGAAAGCTCAGTAAAAGACGATAACCGGACAAAATGCAAAGTGCCTACGTTGAAATCCGACGTCGTTGCGGCCGAAAGGGTCGCTGCCGTGCCGGGGAACTTCGCCTTCGCCTCCGCGAGTGCGTTGCCACCTACGCCACCACCGATGCTGATCTGAGAGAAACTGCGCGCCGCGCGCTTCTGGTGCAGAAGGGGAGCCGCGGACGCGAATGCGGCGAAGATGACAGTGAAGACGGCGGAGAAACGCATGGTGCGAGCGGTGATCTTAGATGAGAACGAGCGAAGGGTGAACGGCGGTGGTGGAGGATGCGTTGGCGTTGAAAGAGCGGAAGAAACGAGAGACCAGTCTCGGGAAGGAGCGAAAGGCTGTCGAAGCGGGGCGAAAGGCAGACAATATTCACGAACGGACCATCGGTCGATTATATAGCCTCAAAACGGCATCCATATGCTGGGTGTTCCGCCCCTGGTGACACGCCGCGTATAGCGGCCGAGGAACGACTACAGCCGAGTGCCGGTCCGGGTAACGCCTTGGCGGCGATAACCATCCTTTCGCCGTTACTGTCTCCGATGAATACGCGACTATGTGTGCTTGCGCGACGGGAGGTGCAGGCCATAGGAAGGTGAGCATCGAGGGCTACTACGATGAGTCGTGATGTCCTTTTCAAGTTGACCATGACGCTCCCTGACGCCCCGGGAAGCCCGAAGGGCCTGTGAGAGCATCATAGACTGGTCCATTATTTCGAGGAATATTTACAGCGTGCACAATGTGACGTTGTGGGAAGGCGATGGCTGCTCTCCCGAACAGAGAACTGCAGCTCGGGGATTCAATTGATTCATGGTGGGAAGAGCCATGTTGGACGTCTTGGCAATATAAGGCCGTCGTGGATTGAAGCAACGAGCGGTCTGGGGATTGGGCTGGAACACCATTCGTCGAGCGTCCCGGTCCTGCGAAACCTTCCTTGCAATCGCCCATCATGGCCATGCGACCGTGCATCCAGGCGACCATGGCTATTGTCCATTAAAGATCTCACAAGTGCGACGTGACTTGCCTGACCTCACCATCCTTGACGTGCGACTCTCAAGAGGAGCGCAAGACATGATCAAAGGCTTGCCGCATACCAACTTCGGATTGTCCGCCGGCTAAGAGCCTTGTCCCTTGTTCTTCTGCCGCAACTATGCTCTATCTTTGCTATGCTGTGACATAAGAGCCCCACCGGTGCCCACGATGCAGAGAACTATCTGGCTGGATGACTACATGTGGACGTACATCTATCATCGTCACTGGCGCTCATCTATCTATGGTCTCACCCGCGGTGAGGTTGCGCTCTTACGCGCGCTCCCACTGCCACTTGTGAATGGATGATGTGTAAGTCTATCGATGAGGTCTGACCATGAGCCTATATTAATGACGTTCGTAGGCGTATGCACGGAGTATCCTACTCCGTCCAACTCGCCAACTATCGATCTTACTCGTCTCTCCGAGTCATCCGCGCGCCACAGTGATCATGAGCGTCCCGTACGCATGGCAATCCACGTACCTTTGTATGGGTTCCCGATGTTGGATTGGATCCAATTGCAGTTCATAGTGGGAATAGGACTGGACCGAAAATCCCATACTGAGACGTAGAACGAGCCTGTCCCTCCGCCTATAAGAGCTGGCCCAACAGCAGACGACTCCTCAGGCAACCCATCATGTTCACTTCACTCGCCTTCTTCATCGCCCTCGCGGTCGCCGCTCCCGCGCCCTCATCGGTCCAGTCCGCCCCACCTGCGTACACGACAGACACGCCGATCAGTCTTGACCTCAATTCTCCGACGTACGTCGAGCCGGCCAGCACCCACGGTGGACTGGATGCCGGACCACAACCCATTCGTGGAGGGCTTGGGGCCAACATCATCGGGCAAAATAACGCCGAGCTCGCGATGCAGAACGCCGACACCCTGGCGCCACCCACAACGGATGAGGGCAGCGTAGGCAACCCGAAGTGGCCGTTTTCGTTGAGCCACAACGTACGCGAAGCGATGTGGATAATTTATGATGTCTTGGCTGACCTGTGTTTCAGCGTTTACAGACGGGCGGATGGGCCAGACAGCAGAACAGTGAGTGTTCAGATTTAGACTGACCTCATAAACTGCCTATTCTAACCCGCTTTCGCAGCTAAAGTGTTCCCTATTGGAGAAAGTGCGTGGGGAAGTTCGATTTCAGGCTCCCTCTGCTGATTGTAAGTGCTACAGAGATGGCTAGCGTCGACATGCGTCTAGAGAAAGGCGCCATACGAGGTGAGCGCTTTGAACATTGATGCCGCGCAGTCACTGATTCCATTCTGCAGAGTTCCACTGGCACACTACGGCAGAATGGGCGTACGTCTTATCGGTGAGTTATGCAGAATAGGTCACTCTCGCCTCTGGCTGAGCTGTCGACAGGGTACGACGCAAGTAACTTCGGTCGATACCGATGGGCGCAACTATGTGGCGAACGTCGTACGTCATCATCACTTCACTCGTTATTCCAACGTCTAACGTAGACCTTGCGCAGAACGCAGGCGACTTATGGTACTTTCCGCCGGGTGTGCCGCATTCGTTGCAGGGGCTCAGCGACGAAGGCACCGAGTTCCTTCTGGTATGCAAACGTGCTTTGTTTCTCAACTGTCGTACTCATGCAGCGCAGGTCTTTCCTGACGGTTCTTTCGATGAGGACGGCACACTCCTCTTGACCGACTGGCTCTCACATACCCCCGTTGAAGCTTTGTCTAAGAACTTTGGTCTGCCGCCGTCGGCATTCGCCAGAGTGCCATCGCAGGAGCTGTACATCTTCCCATCCGGTAAGCCGTCTGCCGACTGCCGACTTGCTAGCTCCTGACACCTCTTTATAGAGGAACCGTCGACAGATGTCCCTCCCGAGGACCCGTACGGGCAGATCCCGAGCCCTTTCACATACGCCTTCTCGCAGGTTAACGCATCCGCCGCGCCAGGTGGGACCTTCAAGATCGCAGATTCAACTGTCTTCCCCATCGCGACCAAGATAGCCGTAGCGCAGGTGACTGTGGAGCCCGGCGCGATGCGGGAACTCCATTGGCATCCTCAGGAAGACGAATGGGGCTACATCCTCTCCGGACAGGCGCGCATTACCATCTTTTCGGGGTCCAGCAATGCGGGCACTTTCGATTTCCAGGCAGGCGACATTGCATATATCCCTGCCGCGGACGGACACTACGTCGAAAACATCGGGAATGAGACGTTGAAGTACCTCGAGGTGTTCCGTACGGCCAAGTACGAGGACGTGAGCTTGAGGCAGTGGTTGGCAACCGCGCCCCCGGCGCTGGTGAAGGCGCATCTTGGCTGGAACGACTCGACAATTGCGCAGTTGGGCAAGACAAAGCAAGTGGTTGTTGCACCGTATACACCCTGAGAGGGTGGTACTATAGTAGCTATAGAGTAGACGTTATCACATAAGTCCCCAGACGGATACTAGGCGGGTTGCTGCTTTGGAACTGGCGTTTGCTGAGAGACCTCTTTCGCCCGATCATGACGCTTGAGCAAGACAGATGTGCCCATCAATAGGCCCTCAGCCTCCTCGTCCTTTGCCTCCGCGCATCCTGCCCAGCGTATACGCAGGTTCTCGTCGACAAGATAGACATAGCCGATGCGGCTATTCACCATGCCCATTGGCTCACGCAGGTACTCCTGCATATCGAGGTAAGCGCCACCTCAATATCGCACAGCGACTGAGGACAAACCATATTCTGTCGTGACACGAGATACGTCGGGTGCAAATGCGGTGGTATGGCACTTCGTAGTGAAGACAGGAAGAGCGTGACAAGGAACGACTTTAGCACGTTCTCTTGGAGGTTGACCTGGACGTATTGGTATGCCGGGTGCGAACTGAACCGCTTGTTGACTTCGGTTGCGAAGGAAGCGGCGTGGTGCTGGGGAGCACTCCTTGAGCACATATGAAGTTGTGATCCCAATGTATGATGCACATACCTCGGATATCTTGCTCGAGAGCATGGCTACGACGGATACCTTGCCGGTGCAGATGTCCGTGGTATGTGCTGTTTCGCCATCTTGCAAGCGTGTACCGACGATGTTCGGCAGGTATAGTGCTTTCTATATATGTTCATTGGCGATCATTGACGTCGACTGACGGGCGCAGGCACGTACATCTTCCCTGATGAGGACTTTGGGTGCCATCCATGTCTTCCCTCCATAGAAGCGTACCATGTGCAGGTCGTAGAAGTAGCCGGTGGTCGCTTCCTTTATTCTGTCCATAAGTGTCAGCGAAATATCGCCTACGCGGTAGGGGCGCGGCTCACAAATGTCGGCGTTGATCCATACGCTTCTGGTCGTCAAATAAAATCTCCTTCGAGCGCTCATCAAAAGTTTTGAGGTGCGTCGTCGGCTTCTCGGCGACTCCGAGCGGTCGTTGTAACAATGGCAAAGGCGGAGGAGGCTCGTCATCTTGGTCTTCTACTGGATCCTTGGTGATAGACGGCTTCGGCGGAGTGGTACTTTGACTCTGATTTCTGTGCCATAGAGCAGCGGCCGGACGTGTTGAGCGCAGTAGTTGGCGAGAGGTAGAGGCGCGCGCGGCCCAGGTCGCAATACTGGCTCGAGGACAGGAAGAAAGCATCGTCCACCAGACAGCGCGTTCGCGCTCGGCGCTCGGTCTCGGCCAACGGATCGGACCACGTGAAGCTATGATCGGATCTTATGTCCGATAGGTCCGTCTTTCCGGGCAAGCATGCTGTTCAGGTTCATGTTCTTCAAGTTGTCTCGCCGTCATGCACTGCACTCGCCGCGGTCGTCCACCGGCGGCACTCATGTGCCTTTGACATACTGCCAATTATACGCTTAATGGTCGATTGAACCGCTCCTCCGTCAGAAACATCGAGTGGTGTGCGATTCAAGAGATCTAGGGAAGAGTATATATAATGGCAGCAGTGCATTATCAGAGGACCTCCACCACCGGTCCCAGAACTCGCTTCTTAACCGCAGAAGGTGATCCTGAGGTCGACCTGGTAAATCATTAGACTATGAACAGCAGCTATCAACAAGCGAGGGCGGCTCACGTTCTTCTTCTGGCAAGCGACCTGAACCTGGGTGTCGGTGTCCTTGTGGAACGCGGTCTTGCACTTCTGGCCCGCGCAGACCTTACCCTTTCCGTCGCATCCGTTGAAGTAATGGAAACCGGTCTTCACCGAGAACTTGTGCGGCGGGATGAGTGACAGGTCCGTGCTGGACCCGCTGCCCGGAGCGTTCGGGTCAGGGTTCTGGAGCGTCGTCTCAACGAAGAGACAACCGCCGCCGTTGGCATCGCAGTTGCCGGTCTGGAGGAAGGCGATAGCGCCGACGAGCGAGCCTTGATGCGTGTACTTCCCGCCGTTGGAGAGAACCTTGCCGTTCTGGCTAACGAGCTTCGGCTGTTATTGGGGACAACGTGAGCTGAGACGATCGCAGAACCATATGGATGGCTGACCGTTCCGTGACCGCACTTGTTCTCAAACTCAACGACATGCTTCTCAGCATTCACACCGGCGAGGGCGACGAAGAAGACGAGAGCGCTGGAGAGAATGGTGGGGAGAAACATTGTCGAGCTCGAAGGACTAGAGAACTGGGATAGCGACGCAAAATGCTGCTGAGGTCTTCACCCGTCGCTTGCAGAGCTTTTATACCTCAACCTGGCTCAGGTTCATCTCCGTGTATCTGAGTACAGCCTCCTCAGCGTGCCAGATAGCAAGTCATGCTTGTAGACAAGTATGGACACCCTGCCATAAATCACCGACAGTCGTACAGGCATCCATACGGACAGCATTGCAAGAGCCGCCGAGTCCGACCTGACTCGGGTGATCGGCCTGAACGCGGCGTATTGTACTTACCGCGTCCGCCGGCATTGCAAACAGAACCACTCCAATAGCGATGCCCTGCGTGCTAGCTGAAAGTCTGGTGAGCAGTTGCGAGCACTTTATGCAGAAGCAAAGACCGAGCGCGGTGGCAAAGGCTGGAACCAATTTCCGAAGCGAGAAGGCAAAATTTGCGGAGGGTTGGAAACGCACCATACTTAGAAGATACATAGTCAGCCGTGCTGTGTATCAAGTACTATACACATGTGCTGATTTGGGCGGAGAACGGCATCGCGAGCCAAAGCGCATGTTTCAAACAGTCGAGATCAAAACAACTGTTGCCCACAGGCGCCGACAGTACCGCCGGCAAGTGTGCTTCTATCGCTCTATAGAGTTAATCAAATACATAATAATACAAGGACTGACACCTCGGTTCGACACAATGAAAGAGGAGGTGGGCGTCAAAGTCCGAAGCAGTCGTGAAATCGAGTGCCGAGGCTGCATCCATCGTCCATGAAGACCCTACGGCGTATACGGTGCAACGATGACTTGCTTCGTCTTGCCCAGCTGCGCAATAGTGGAGTCGTTCCACCCCAGATGGGCCTTGACCAGCTCCGGTGGTGTGGTCGCCAGCCATTGCCTGAGACTGACATCTTCAAACTTTGCCGAATTGAACACCTCGAGGTACTTCAGCGTCTCGTTTCCGATGTTCTCGACGTAATGCCCGAGGGCAGCGGGGATGTACGCGATATCGCCTGCTTGGAAGTCGAACGTGCCTGCTGTGCTCGAGCTGGCGAAGATGGTGATGCGTGCTTGACCGGAGATGATGTAGCCCCATTCGTCTTCAAGAGGATGCCAGTGCAGCTCGCGCATCGCTCCCGGCTGTATAGTGAATTCCCCCACAGCTATCTTCTGTGAGATTGGGAATACACTCGTGTCCGCGACCTTGAAGGAGCCTCCTGGAGCTCTGGTAGCGTTGGCCTTTGAAAGAGCGTACATGTAGGGACTAGGCGTCTGGCCGTACGGATCCTCAGGAGGCGCATCCGCTGTAGGCTCTTCTACATCGGCAGTTCAGAGACTGTATATGAGGTGATCGAATCAATGACTCACCTGATGGGAAGATGAAGAGCTCATGCGATGGTACGCGGGAAAAGGCTTCCGGTGGCAGACCGAAGTTCTTGGAGAGTGCTTCGACTGGTGTATGAGACAGCCAGGAAGTTAACATCAACGTATCTTCCGCGGAAAAGGTTCCGTCGGGGAAGACCTAGGAGATCACTACATGAGTTTGAGTGCTATGGTCGTGATTGAAATGACGAACCAGAAGGAACTCGGTCCCTTCGTCGCCCACGCCCTGCAACGAGTGCGGCACGCCGGCCGGGAAGTACCAGAGGTCGCCAGCATTCTACCCGGTGTCGTCAGTTAGAGACAGTCTCATTATAAGACGAAGTACAGACGTACAGCGTTCGCACGGAAGTTGCGTCCATCTGTGTCTACCGCGGTGACTTGCGTCGTGCCCTGGTGGGAGATGATCAACAGATTTCCCAAGAACGCTATACACATAGCAATTGAACGTACCTTGAGAACGTACGCCCACTCTGCAACAGTATGCCAATGCAGTTCGCTAAGACACGGCAGTTAGACCATCATCGTCCCTGTTCGATACCAGATAGACTCACCGAATGGCGCCCTTCTCTAGCCGCATGTCCACGCTAGCCATCTCTGTGACCCCAGATGTCAATGACCTCGTTGAGCCGAAAGGATCTCGTGTTACTTTCTCCGATAGGGAACACCTGAGCTGCAAACAGTAAGCTCGCAATGCCACTAGAATGGCTGTTCGTGACGTACTGTTCTGTTGTCTCACCCATCCACCTGTCAGTAGACGCTGGGGCACTAGTCAGCCACGCAAAAACTCGATGCTGTCGCTCTCACGTTGTGACTCAACGAGAAGGGCCACTTCGGGTTTCCTACGTTGCCCTCGTCTGTTGTAGGTGGCGCCAGACTATCAGGGTTCTGCTTGGCAAGGTTGGCATTGTTCTGTGCAATGATATCAGCACCAAGTCCCCCACGAATGGGTTGTGGTCCAGCGTCGGTGTTGATCGGAGCGATGTATATCGGCGCGTTGAGGTCGAGACTGATGGGTGTATCCGTTGCGTACGGGGGTGGCGCAGAATTGGTCGATGTAGAGGCAGGCGCTGCAGTGGCGAGAGCAATGCAAAGGGCGAAAGTTGCGAGCATTGCAAGCTCCCTGCGGTAAGTGCGTGTAGATATGCAGCTTTTATAGGTGTCTTCCGCCGGTGAAGGTATTGCCCCGTTGTCTCAGTCTGGTGCATCGAGCCTGCAAGCATTCCCGCAACTCAATGCTTCTGTACCCGGCGGATCATTGCGAAGTTCACAGTCGCAAGCTAGGTTCAGAGCCGAATACACCACGGGTGTGAAATTGGGCTATTGACCAGGGACGACGCTCTGAGGAACAGCCAGGGGCCATGCAGTGTACGCAGTGGCGAGTTTTGTCCATTGAGAATTGACGGGAACGGGTTGATTCCTCACGATGCGCAGACCGATGCATACCAGAGTGCGGGAACGGGAGCGCTTGAGTGGTCAGCTGAAGGTGTACTCCGAACAGCTTGGAATCGTGTTTGCACCTAGAAGTAGGCGACTGTTGCCCGCGCTCTAAATGTTTCGGTCCGGTGCATGGATAACACAACACATTCCGCTGTCATGATGAGGAGGCAAACCGGACTCAAAGCCAACGATATACGCATCAAGAACGCCAGGATCTTCACACTCGAGGTTGTCTGGTCTGCTCCGCACTTCTTATTACTGTTGATGGAGAATCCGGCTTCAGTTTGCGTTGCAAGTATGCCTTGAGAGTAAACCCACATACCATGGCCAGACGAGCAGAGGGAAAGAAAAGCCGCTCGTTCTGATGAACAACGAACCAGACCATACTAAGTCTCCGCTGTCTCCCCTCCATCACCAGGATCTGGTGCAACAGCCCCCTCTGCGGTCTTCTTGAGACGTTTCTTCAATCTTCCCTTGGCCGACTTCGACAGTCGTCGCTTCTCTGGGCGTTGCGCACTGTGAGGGAATCGTACTGAGCTTTGGACACGTGGACCACGAGGGTGGGTCAGACGCACGTCGCGGGGTGAGTGACGGCTGCTAAATCTGGGATTTCCTTTGAGGAGAGGGTGACGCGCATGTAGGGGGTACGTTGGATGCGGACGCTGTTCAATCGTATCAATGGACGCACAAGGATGTGACCAGTTGAGACTCACTTTTTGACACCATCCAACGCTTGAATGATGGAGCGAGAGCGCGCCAGTTCCACGTCGTCTTCCTCTTCTACCTGCGGATGTGGCGCCAATCCAAGATCTTCCAAAGTACCCAACTCGTTATACTGGTAAAGACCAACGAGTGTACTGTCCGGTAGTTTGAGGTACTCGCGCTTGATTATTTCCGTGACAGTGATCAATTTCGCGATGGCGTTCGTGGATGGATGGATCCCACCGCTCTTCTTCGCTGGTGGTTTGGCTTCATTCGCGTCGGAAGGTGATCGAGTTTGCTCCTGCTCTGTAGAGGCCTCATTGGTAATGGGAGGCGCTTTTCCCTTGCCTTTCAAGTCGTGCGGAAGTGTATGCAGGATGAGTTTCGCATCCGGGCTATTCTATTGTCACTCATCAGAGGAATGGCACGGGCAGATGATAGCTAGGAAGCACACCTTCAAGAACTTCAGCGCGAACTCAACCCAATTTGATATCTTTCCGCCAGTCGTGATGCGGATCTCATGCGTCGTTGAGGAGGAAGATTTTCCCTGGGCAGTTTCTGTTGAAGTGATGCTCCCTTCCATCCTGAGTTCCCACTGGCATGTGGCGCGTGTTCTGAGGGTCGGAAGCAAGACGCGGTAGGCGCGTCGCGACTCCGATACGCGGTCACGTTTCGTTTCACACGCGAGTGCTTGTGGCTCTCGGTACTCGTTCTTGAGCGGCTGTGCCGACTTTGACGGTTCCACATTCAGAGATACTGCATAGTTACACGACGGGCCTAGGAATAAGCCTACAAGAACCGATCTATTCGACCTGTGTTCCGCATCAAAGTTGACTGGCAGCGTCGGAACGAGTAGAGTTCCGGCCAAAGGTAGGTAAACGCTCGCCACGAACAAGTAGCAGAAGACGGACGTCTCCTCTCGGAAAGACGATTACATATGCATACACACGATCACACACGGTCCAAAGTAGAGATTCGAGACCCGGAGAAGCAAAAGTACCGCGCCGAAAGCAAGAGATTAACGCCGATAAGGCCGTGTCTACCACCTGGCCAGTGACAATTTTGAGCACAGGGTCTCGCGCAGTGATACGCGACGTACGTGAGAAGTTACGGACCAAGCCAATCCGAGCATGGCCGGTTCATCCCGCCGGGATGAGGCAAATGAAAGACAGAGGGCCGAAGGCGCTGGGCGGCAACGTCGTGCCTCCCATCAGGCGAACAGAGCCAAGTTGCCAAAGCAGCCATCGAGGTTGGAGGCGTATCCACTCTTTCGGGCCAAGCTTGAAAAGGAAACACCTTTTAGCTTTCGAAGCTCGGTGGCAGATATCGATCGGAGCGGTGAAGATGGCACGTATCCTCTAAAACGCTCGCCTCTGCTACGGGAAAGCTGGTTGTTCTCTGGTAAAGAAAATGTATCTGCCGCAGATGCACGAGGGCCGGAGAATAAGGGCGGGAGAAGACAGGAACCAAACAAGGCGGGCCTGATTCAGGTGTACGTTGTGCGCGTGTAGCCCCATCTGCAAACCAGGAATCCCTTAGCA